CCGTTGACTGGCTGCTACCCAACTCCTACTTCTGGACTCTCCATTCTTTCAATATCTTTTGGAAGTCATGGTTAAATGTTTCCTTGACTGAAGAAGGCCTTTTTTTGTCCAGTGTCCTGTCCTGCCTGAGCTATCTCTGTGAGAACTACAAACCCCATAATGCTTGAGAGATGTTCTTAAAATATCTAAGCTACTTCCTGAAAGCATTTCTCTGCTACCTGCTACCTGCCAGAAACCCGTCTACAAAGCAGGGATTTGGTCAGGAGCCCCGTGGGAACGGTGAAGGGAGAATGGACTACAACTCCCAGAAGCCCTTGGTAGAATCCCCCATTGTCTTCATTTGCTGTCACCTGAAGTTTTTTGCCTCTGTCTCCCCAGACTCTTTATTCAACCCTGCCAGCTCTCCTGGACAGTAACCCTTTCACCGCTGGGGCAGAGCTGCCAGGTCCTGGTGCAGAGCTGGAGGCCATGCCACCTGGGCTCAGGCCTACCCTGGGTGTGTTCCAGGCAGCTCTGGAACTGACCAGCCAGTGTGAGCTGCACCCCGACCTCGTGTCCCAGACCTTTGGCTACTTGTTCTTCTTCTCCAATGCATCCCTTCTCAACTCACTGATGGAACGAGGTGAGGGTTGGGCTGGGAGCAGCCAGGAGTCACCCAGACCGAATCCAGGTGGACTCTGGATGGTTTTGGGTAGCTTGGTTTCCAGTCAGACTTCATCTTCCAAGTAGGTCCATTCCTTGCCTCTCATTCTTCCTACACAGGTCAAGGCCGACCTTTCTATCAGTGGTCTCGAGCCGTCCAAATTAGAACCAACTTGGATCTCGTTTTGGATTGGCTACAGGGGGCTGGGCTGGGCGACATTGCCACGGAGTTCTTCCGGAAACTCTCCATTGCTGTGAACCTGCTATGTGTGCCCCGCACCTCCCTGCTCAAGGTGACCCCTGATGGCTATGCTTGACTTTGACTCAACCCAGCTCCTCTCTGGGACCCCAAGTCATCTCCAGCCCTAGATTAGACAGCATGATGGGCTACTGGCAGCTATAGAAGTCAGTATCAAGAATGCCTGAACAAAAATGTCTGAATGCTAGTGGAACTTTCTGGAAATAGTTCTCCAGTCTTTCTCGTAGACATGTTGAGTAAAAGCCTAGTTTGAGACTGAGGAAATGATAGTTAAGCATTCGCCGAATATGAACTGCATTCTAGGAACTGTGATAATAGTGGTGACAAGCACCCCATTCAAAGTAGCATTTTTCAGATGAGAAAACTGAACAGATAGATCACTTTTTTTAAATGGTTTATTTATTATATGTACAGTGTTCTGCCTGCATGTCTGTGTACAAGCCAGAAGAGGGCACCAGATCTCATTATAGATGGCTGTGAGCCACCATGTGGCTGCTGGGAATTGAACTCAGGACCTTTGAAAGTGCAGCCAGGAAACTTCTGAGCCATCTCTCTAGTCCCCAAGATCTTATTATGTAGCACTGGTTGACCTGGAATTCACTCTGTGGACCAGGCTGGCCTTGAGTTCACAGAGATCCATCTGCCTTTGTCCTCTGAGTGCTGGGATTAAAGGGTTTACAACCACACTGGACCTTCCCTTTTTTTTTTTTAAGATTTATTTTTATGTGTGTGTTTGCCTGTGTGTGTGTATATATGTGCACCATTTCCATGAAGGCCAGAAGTGGGTGCTGGGAACTGAACCTGGGTCCTGTGCAAGAGCAGCCAGTGTTCTTAACGGCTGAGCCCCTTACTTTCTCTTATTTATATCTTATTACAGTATTGGGGATTAAACGTAGGGCATCACACATGCTGGGCAAACGCTCTACCCTACATCTCCAGGCCTCTTTTTAATCTTGAGATAGTTTCACTATGTTGCCCAAACTGGCCTTGCATTTTGAATCTTCTTGCCTCAGCCTCCTAAGAAGCTGCCATGGCAGGCCCGTCTACCGAGCCCAGCTCTGACTTCTAACTTGGTCTTCCCCTAGGCTTCATGGAGCAGCCTAAGGACTGACTACCCAACCCTGACCCCCGCTCAGCTCCACCATCTCCTCAGCCACTACCAGTTGGGTCCTGGCCGTGGACCTCCTCCAGCCTGGGACCCACCACCTGCAGAGCGAGATGCTGTGGACACAGGTGTGCACAGATGGCCTGACAAGCATTGAGATGTCTTTTCCTTGGGACCTAAGAGTCCATGTTCCCAGCCTCTTTCTCACCCAGGATTCTGGATGAGAGTCTGGGCCCTTTCACTTCCCAGAACCTAAAATTGCTGGATCCAAATGCCTTCTCCCTGAGATTTAAAGACTAGGGGCTGGGATTGTAACACAGTAGTAGGGGCCTTTCTTACTCTGGGATCCCTTCTCAGTATGCTAAGAAGAGTTTAAGCATGTTACTGTTATTATTTGGTTTTTTGAGACAGGATTTCTCTATGTAGCAACTCTGGCTGTCCTGAAGTTCACTCTGTAGACCAGGCTGGCCTCGAAATCACAGAGACCCACCTGCCTCTGCCTTCTGAGTGCTGGGATTAAAGGCGTGTTTAATTATTTTTACTTAGACTTAAGCCCCTAGCCTCTTCCCTCCACAGACCTAACCCTAACCCAACTTACGTGGAATTGGGCTCCTCTGTCCTCGGAAATCTCCCAGGATTTCCCAGCCCATCCTCTAGGTCCCAGGGACTCAACTACATAACCTGTTAATGGTTCCCCGCCTCCTTAACTACAACTCCCATCATGCTTTGGAACCCAGAGACCCACATTTGATGCTGGCATTTGCAGTGTTTTCTTCGGGAGCGAGCACCTCACACCCACGCTGAGTCTCTAACTTGGTCTTCCTCGCCTTCACAGGGGATATCTTTGAAAGCTTTTCTTCGCATCCTCCACTCATCCTGCCCTTGGGCAGCTCCCGCCTGCGCCTCACGGGCCTAGTGACAGATGACGCCTTGCACCGAGAACTCCGCAGGCTCCGTCGCCTCCTCTGGGATCTTGAGCAGCAGGAGCTGCCAGCCAATCACCGCCACGGACCTCCGGTGGCTGTGACGCCTTGAAACTCGATGACAGAAGAACGCGCGAAGCTTGAAACCGCGTCGGTTCTTAGGGGCGCCTGCCTGGGCGCAGATCATTCTGGGAGTTGTAGTTTTTCCCGCGTAGACCGCTGGGAGTTTGAGTTGGTAGAGGCTGGGACTGTGGGAAGACGGGCTTGGAATATGAATGCCAAGAAGTAATAAAAGTATCTGTGGTATTGACCTTGCTTGGCTCTTGATGACCTTAGAGAAGATGGTTTTTTGAGGTGCCCGGGCCTGTGCTTGGAACGTTGGGTGTCTGCCGAGTTTGGGGAGATATTTCTAGCAATGGCCTCAGCTTGCCCTCTAGCACGAAATGTGACCCTGGAGCACTGAACCCTGCCGTACAACTCGGAACTCAGCCCAGACCCTGCCCTTCTGAGTGTCAGACTCTGTACACCAGCGGGAACAGGCCATCTCCCTCCTACCCACTAAATCCAGACGCGAACCTTCCCCCCCAGCCCTTCCGACGCTCTCTGCCTACGGTGCACACTGCTGAATTCCCACACGCAGCACTTTAACCTCCGAGAACTCGTCCTCTTCAATCGGACGCAAGAATGCAGACCCCTCCTCCTTGCCCAGGAGCCCCAGCCCTCCTTCCTCAGACCGGGAGTCGTGACTCCCGCCCCCTCCTTTCTTAGAACCAGGGGTCTGGGCCTCAGGTTTGAACTTTCCCCTCCTCTGAATTTGACTCCTACCGCTGCGTCAGGGAAAAAGAGCCAACAGGTGGCACCTGCCGGCACGGTCTGAGGACGACCACCTGCCGCTGTTGCTCACCCGGGTCCCTCTCTCTGCACCTGCTCCCGTCTGTCGCCGGTGGCTGCCCCACCCAACCCAACAGCCCAGGGCGCGAGGGAGGAGACGGAAGGGGGACCCTCGACACGAACCCGCCAGGGTCCTCCCCACGTGTGCGCGCCGCCCATTCCCTGGGTCCTGACAGGGTTTCTGCTCTAAGGCCCGCTCCCCGGGCTCCGGCTCGCCCCAGAAGGGGGAATCGAGGGCGGCCCTAGGCTGGGGGCGGAGCCTGAGGTCTCCAGCCCAGTCCGCGAGACTCCACCCGCTTCAAGGCACAGCTGAGTAGCTGAGCGGAGCCCACCTGGTGAGAAGCCCCTGGGGTGGAGACAGGGACCCTCCTTACTACCCTTCTTTCGCCGTTCTGGTTCCCCTTTCTGATCCGAATACCTTTCCCATAGAGGCTGGTGCCTGACATTCAACCCACTCTGTTTCAGGTGTCTGTTGCAGGAACCCCTGCGTTTCCCAGACACCCATCAGATTCCCTGCTGACCCAGATCCTGGACTAGCCCCTGAGAGCACGGAGTTCTAGTCCTCAACTTCCTTTTCCTTCAGGATTCAGAATCCAGACGACTGCTTCGTGTGCTTCCAAAGACCCAGAGGCCCAGATTCCAATGCCCTCCTTGCTAGGATGCAGGAGCCCGTGACTCAGGTCCTGCCTCTACCTCCATGGCCCAGGAGTTGAGACCCCAGCCCTCTTGCTTCAGACTCAGAATTCCAGGCCCCAACCCTTCCTCAGGCACAGCAGTCCACGAGCAAGAGCTTCCCCCAAACCCAGAACTCCAGGCCTCAACCCTCTACCTTCAGGCCTAGGGGTCCAAGCCTGGTCTCTCACACCATGGGTCCAGGTCCAAGCCCTCCTCTCTGGAACCTAAGGGTCCAGGGCCCAGCCATCCTTCCTTAGACCTGAGTGTGTAAGACCCTACCCCACCCAGAGGGTCCAGCCCAGTATTTAATCAGTTACACCCTCCCCCGAATTCCCCCCGAATGGCAACCTCCTGTCCCTGCTCTCCAGCAGCCCCGTCTTCCTCTCTGTCCAGGTCTCCACCCCAGCCTTGGCAATGACCCTGGCAGCCTCCTCCCAGCGCTCCCAAATCATCCGTTCCAAGTTCCGCTCTGGTGAGAGGTCGCTTGTCGTTGAGCATGTGGGGAGGGGTCCTGGATGCAGGGCCCGGGTCGCAGCGGCACTCCCCTGGGTGGGCGGAGGGCCCAGGAAGCTCATGCACCAGGTGGCGGGATGAGCCGTAGGTGGGGACAACCAAGTGGGCGCATGCTGAAATTGCTGTACGTGACCTGTAGGCAAAGCGGAATAGCAAGGTGGGACCCGAGGGCCCTGGGTGTGTGGCTGGGGGACCAAGGGCTGTCAAGCCTTGAAAGTGATATTCGGCACGATTCGTTGCCAATTCAAAGAGTTCTGAACACTCAGAGCGGAGCACTGGAAAATCTCTGCTCCCAAACCCAGGGTCAAGTATGTGAGTATGTGGATGCATGCCAGCAAGAGAGAGTAAGCCAGGGTGGAAACTCAAGTAAAGGCTATTGACACACATGCGAACTAGAGTCCAAAGAGGCATGAGCATCCCGGGTAGGTTTTCAGGGTGCTGGCCGTGGGGAAGGCCGGGCTAGCACAGGAAGGGGTGCGTGGATAAAAGGGAGAGAGGTGTCGATGGGTCAGGCTGGCAAGATGGCGGCTGCCAGGGTGGGCACTGACTCCTGAGCGGCAGGTGGAGCCAGGAGCACGGCTGCCTCCTGCTTGCAGGCTGGCTGGCGCACAGCTTCACGAGTGGCTCCGGCCCAAGATGCTCTGCTGGCAGGAGCAGGCAAGAGGCCCCGGGAAGGGAAAGGGAGCGCGGCCGGCCCACCCGCCCCCTGTGTGTGCAGGGGCTGGGCACGCGTGTCCGCCAACAACTGTAGCTCCCACCCATCAGCCAAGCCAGGCTTTGGGCACTCCCTCCCGCCTTCCTCGTCCCACCTCCCTTTTCCTTCCACACAGTCCTGCAGCTTCGGATCCACAGACGGACTCGAGACTGCTGTAAGTGTGGGCCCTCAAGGGAAGGGGTGCTGGGGTGAAACCCCGGCCTGTCGCCTTCAGAGGGCTCTGGGGTCAGCTGGGCCACCCCACCCTTCGAGCTCTCCCCGGGGTTCCCGTGCCGGATGCCCTCATCTCTGCTTGGTGCTGTCAGCTCTCACACACTCAGTTACCTGAATGCAGTTTCTTTGCTTGCCCGTTTCCTTGCAATCAGGGGTACGGGCATCGCCTGATTCTGTCCCAGGAACACACTAGACAGCTGTGTCCAAAGCAAACAGACCGCATGCTGACTGAGGACAAAACTCCCTTCCTTTCTTGGAAATGTGAAAACCTGGGTACCCAGGAGGCCAGGAACCCAGCTGGACCACTCGGGCTGTTGCTCCAGGCTGGCCCTCCTTCCCCATAGCCCTCTCTGTGCTAGTTAGCCCGCTGTCTGCTGCTCTCTCTCTCTCACGGTCCTCTACTATCTTTTCAGCCTCTGACTCAGATCCATGGGTCTCAGCCTCAGGCCCAGCTCGGGCCCCAGCTTTCCCCCCTGTTCCTGCTTCTTATCTTGTCAGCCCTGGCGTCCTGTCCCCTGAGCCAGCATACTGTCCTTGGAGGTCTCCAAAGAAGGTGAGCTTTTGACAGAAGAGGGGCAAGAGCCCAGGAAGGTCTGGCCTTGGTTCTCCCAGCCTGTCTTTGTGGTGTTGCCAAGCTGGCACTACACATTTCATGGGCCAGGGAGGCGGATCATCCGTTTTTTCTCTTTGATTTTGAGACACGTTCACTTTATGCCAAGATGCCTAGAAGTCTCCGTCCTGCCCTGACCTCCCTGGTGCTGGGATGATAGGTGTGGTGGCCACCACATCTGGCCTTCCTTCCTCTTTCAGGAATCCTCCAAGAATCCCCAACACTGGGAGGAGCCCAAGATCAGGGGGAACTTGACATATCACCTGTACATGCCTCCAGAACGGAGACAAGGGCCCAGGGCAGATCTCCAAGCAGAGGGATCAACCTTGAGCCCCCCGGGGCCACCTCTGTGGGAAGAGAAAAATTCACAGAGACCGCACCCTCGGTAGGACTCTCACTTTTATTCTCCAGGGACCCAGAAACTCAGGCCCCATCATCCTTCCTGAAACCCAGAGTGCGAGGGAGAGGAGCCTGCCCCGGAACCCCGTCCCTAGAGCCCCGGCTGTGTGTGCTGCACAATTCCCACACCCATAAGCCCGCCCTATGTTTGCTCCAGAACTCCTCAATCTCCTGCGTCCTCCGAAGCCCCTGTTTTTAGGGTCCCTAAGCGCCTTTCTCCCTCTGTCCTAACCGCTCCTCAACCCATCACGCCGGTTGCTAGGATGAAGCCCTCCTCACCAGGAGACTCCAGTCCCTCACCCCCTGCGCACAAGCTGGAACTTGAGACCCTTAAGTTGGAAGAGCTGACGGTGAGTTTGGGGTGCAGTGTTCCAGGGCTGGACGCAGACCTCGTAAGCCCGTGGCCCCTACCCTAGGGCAGTTGGTCTGGATTCTGGTTCCCCTTGGTTTCCCAGTCACCGCTCCCCAGCAACTCCTCTCCTTGCCCGGCCCCTCAGGTCTCAGAGCTTCGGCAGCAACTGCGCCTGCGGGGCCTCCCAGTCTCCGGGACCAAGGCGATGCTCCTGGAGCGCATGCGCGGTGGCGTCCCGTCCAGAGACCGGCAGAAGCCCCGGCGCGTAGACAAAGAAGCCGCTGCTCCCTGGCCGCGCGTCAGACCTAGGGCCCTGGGACCAACCCGGCGGCCGGGCACGGTGAGGGCGGGGCTGTGCACGCACGGACCAATCTGGAGGACCATGCGGAATGGGGCGAGACCTCGGGGAAGAATAACCAATGAAATGACTGCTAGGAGGCGTGCCTTACACTTGGGGGCGGGCGTTAACCAGTGAGGCCGCTAAGCTTGGGGGTGTGGCCAACCATTGGTTGCTCCGAGGATGCAGTTAGAACCCGGTAGGCGTGGTTTCAGGGAGAAAGCCAATGAAAGGCCCCGAGCGGGGCGGTGAGCTTATTCAGAGAGAAAGCCTTTGCTGCCGAGCTTGACTACTTGAGTTCTATCCCGAGACCCATAAGGCAGACACCATGAACCAACGCTGAAAGTTGTCCTCTGATGTACACATACATACACAGTGAATAAAAATGTTAGAAAATAAGAAGTATTGGGGCGAGGCCAAGGAAGAACTGAGTCAGGGTCGGGGGCAGAGCCACGCCTGGCGTGTTGGGTTATGGAACTCCCACCTTTCCTGGTTCCAGGTAAAGGCAAGTACCACGACTCGTAGGCTGAGGTTTCCTGGAGCTTCGGATCCCCTGGGGGCTCCAGCATTGGCTCCAGCTCCGGCTTCCGCTCCGGCTCCAGCTCCCTTCCCAGCATCTTCTCCAGCCACCCTGACTCTGGAAGAGGAATTGCAGGAAGCGATCCACAGGGCGCAGGTGGATGGGGATGCGTGACTGGGCATGCTCCGGGGCTGGGCTGTGGACCTAAGCCGGACCCGGGGTCATATGGTGTGTGCTCATCCACAGCTGCTTCCGAATCGGGACATCGATGACATCCTGGAAGATCAGGTGGAGCCAGATGGTAGGAGCAGAGCGCCCACATTTAGGAGAGGAACTGAACTTGGGAACTCCTGGGTCTCGAGGGAGGAGTGGGCTGGCAACAGCGCAGTGAGCAGGATCTGCCCCCCCTAAAGCTTACACTCCTCCTGCAGACCTGCTGCCTCCCTTCGCCTTGGACTTCCCTGGCTCGTTTGACATGCTGTCTCCCTCCCCGGACTCGGAAGGCTTCTCTTCCGTCTTCTCTTCTTCACTCCCATCCCCCACAAGCTCCCTGTCCCCTTCTCCAAGAGCCCTCACAGATTCCTTGGACTGGCTGGAGACCTTGAGTGGGGGTCCACCGCTGGGCTCTGGACCTCCAGGCCCCAGCATCTTCTCTGCGGACTTATCTGACTCCACCAGCACCCGGCTTTGGGAACTGCTGCCGGATCCCTGGTGATGGATCATGGGGTTTCCAAGGAGACCCTCCAACTACAGAGGACTCAAGATGCCCTCATCCCCTGCTGGCCCACTGCTGCTGACATGTCAAATGCCCGCTTCTGTGTGACTCCTCCCAGTTGGGGGCGTGGGTTCATTTGCTACTGACCAGTGCAAACAAGCTCACTGCCTCCTTCAGAGACCTGCAGGGGGTGTGTACCGCTCCCTCCAGACTCTGGCTACCGCCTCTCGTCTGGGGAGCTGGGAGTTTGTGCTGTTTGGGTTCAGGAAAGGACCAGGGGAGATTAAGTAGAAGGAAGGTAGATCCCTGTGCTCTAGTTAGAGGTGAGAGGATCAGAAGCACCTAATGGGAGGTGACTGTGAACTCCCTATGACCTTGTACTCATGAGTGTTGTGATTATACCTGGCTTTCTTGTTTTGTTGAGAGCAAGTCTTGCTGTGTAGCCCAGGCTGGCCTCTAACTTGTGACAATCCTGCTTCGACTTTCTGGGTGCTGAGATGTGAGCCACCATCCCCAGCTCTCGTGGTTCGGGTTCCAGGAGCCAGGTAGGGGATGGATGTCAAAAGGGAAGAGAAGCTAGAATGTGACCTCAGGTGAGCTCCTCCTCGTTCTGTGAGGATGTCTGCCTGCTGAATTAAACTGTGGGTCTCCTGTAGCTCAAGGCTCACGAGACTGGGACTTTGCATCTGTGTTTGGGCTTACTAACAAACCCACAAAACAGAATTGCATTAGATATTTTTACATAGCTGTAACCAACATACGCAAGGGAATAAGCTAAGGGAGGAGGAACTTAATTTGCCCAAGGTTTCAGAAGGTTCAGTGGTGGTTGCTCAACCCCGCTTGTTTGGGTGGAGCACCATGGTGACCACATGTATGGAGGAGATTCTTCTCGTGGTGGCCAGGCAGCAGGGAGAAAGCAGGAAGGAGCAAGGATGAGATACACCTAAGACCCACCCGCCAGTTTCCTGGTCTCTCTAAGTAGCATCACCAGCTACACGTGAGCCAGTGCGGGACAATGAATATTCAAAGCATAGCAATAATTGGCTATGGTTCACTGGGCTCTGCAGGACAGCTATTCAGCGCTACAAGGTGTTGGAGAGGGATGTAGTCATCCCTAAGGCCAGATGGGTGAGGACATCCAACATGGCTCACTCAGATATGTTGGCACAGTGGTGGAGATGGAGAGGGCCGAGCCCGACTGGGTTACTGGATATCTGAACCGACCCTTCTTGTTCTCCTCGAAGCCTCAGCTCTCTTCTTCTGCTCATGTTCTCCCTACCAGGCCCCTGGATTTCTTGTGTGGTAGCCCAGGACTTCCAAGAATGAACGTTCAGTTTGGAACGCTACCTCATACCTGTAATCCTAGCACTCAGGGCAATAGGCATGAAGAGCTGAGACAGAAGGCTCAGAAGTGAGAGAGAGAGAGAGAGAGAGAGAGAGAGAGAGAGAGAGAGAGAGAGAGAGAGAGAGAGAGAGAGAGAGAGAGAGAGAGAGAGAGAGAGAGAGAGAGAGAGAGAGAGAGAGAGAGAGAGAGAGAGAGAGAGAGAGCGAGAGAGAGAGAGAGAGAGAGAGAGAGAGAGAGAGAGAGAGAGAGAGAGAGAGAGAGAGAGAGAGAGAGAGAGAGAGAGGGGTGGGAGCTGAACACTTAGGGCCACCAGACATGGATGATTGCCTATGTCTTTGGCGGTACATTCTGTCTCGTTTTGATCAGAAGGTTATCGGGAAAGATAGGACTGGAGTTAAGGGACAGGAGGTGGACATGTAGGGTCAGTCAGTCAGATGTATCCACGCATAACCTGGGCTCTCGGGGCTGAGGAAACTAAGACCGGGAGTGTCTTCTCGGTGAAGCTCTGCGATCACACTCCCAGTGCAGACTGATGAGACAGGGTTTCCCTGTGTAACCTTGGTTGTCCTTCGGTGGCCACGGTATATGGGATCATGGACTGATCAGGGTTTCTTAAAGGGACAAAAAGCCCTGGGGAGCGGAGCAGGGTTGAGACTCTAAGGGTGGGGGTTACTGGTAGAGAACTTCTTGGAAGACGGCATCAAGAGGGATGTGCAGACCTGATTGTGGCGGAGCTGGCTTCCAGGGAAGCTGGCGAGATTGAGTGCACTGAGTAAGACCGCATCTCCGCCCAGGCTGGAGATGGACAGAGCTGGTCCTGTGATGAACTGAAGGCTGACAGGGGCATTCCCAGCCCTGGAGGGTCAAGAGGGCTTCCTCTTCAGCCTCTAGACGCTTCCCCTCTCGTTTCTTGTGTTTTTACATTTTTACTTGCGTGTGTATTCACACACCACATACACTCTCAGTCCTTGGAAGCCAAGGACCCTGTCACTCCCCTGAAGCTGGAGTTGTGGGCTGCCTGACATGGGTCCCAGGAACTGTACCAGCATCTACAAGAGCAGCAAGCCATCTCTCCAGACCCCTTGTGCTTGCTTTTAGAGACAGCATCTGATTATATCATTTCCATGTCAGTCTCTTCGCTATCTCTGACTGCTCAGGTCCCTTCCTGTCCCGTGTCCTCTGCCCCCCGTCAGGTCTCCACCAGCCTCTGCCATCTCCGATTCACCCTCTGGTGAAGGAAGCATCCTTCTCCCCAACTCCCCCAGTCACAGCTGTCCCTCCCTGATACCCTGGGCTCCAATTTCCAACCAAGCCTCCCTCCCATCTCCTGCCCTGTCACCCTCTCTCCTCAACCAGTCAGTCTTTGGTGGAGAGTGCTGCTCTGCGGGGCCCTGCTCAATCCGGGAGAGGCGGGAGTTCTCTGGAAGGCGAAGATTGGAAGGTGGGGCAGGTTTGGTGTGGGTGCTGGCCTGAGCACAGAGCAGGGAGCGGTCAGCACCCTCCACCCTGGTGCTCTGACTTCACAGGCTTCAGTTGCTCCCCCAGCCTCTGTCCCTGTGATCCCCCCTGTGCTTCCATCCACTGGACACCCAGATTTTCATAGAGGGGAGGGACTCTTGTTTCCTTCTGCTTCCTTCTTCCTTCTTCTCCCTGCTCACTTTCCTTCCCACAAGACAAGATCTCCTATGTAGCCCAGGCTGTGTTCAAACTAGACATTTTCAGGACTTCTCGAGTGCTCAAATCAGACATGAACTCGCTCTGTAGACCAGGCTGGCCTCGAACTCACAAAGATCCGCCTGCCTCTGCCTCCCAAGTGCTGGGATTAAAGGCGTGTGCCACCAACGCCCGGCAACCCTTTATCTTAAATGTGATTCTGGTTACACAACTACATGGCTATCAAAAATCAGTGGACACAGTGCAGGCCTATCTTAACAGCATTTGGAGACAGAATTCACATCCCAGATGATCCATGCATCAGATAAAGTTCATTGCTTTCCATACACTCGGCTCATCTACCACTGTGGTCAATTAATTATTTTTGGTTTTTTTTTTATTGTTTTGTGTTCTGATTTTTTCTGTTTGTTTTTTGAGACAGGGTTTGTAGTTTTGGAGTCTGTCTTGGAACTTTCTCTGTAGACCAGGTTGGATTTGAACTCACAGAGATCCACCTGCCTCTGCCTCCCGAGTGCTGGGATTAAAGGTGTGGGCCAGTCATATCCCACCTATCTAGATGGCTCAAATCCATTTTATCCCTTTCAAGAATGTGAAATTGGGCTGAGAATGATTGGCCACACCTTTGATCCTATCATTGTGGAGGCAGGTCTCAAGGCCAGCCTGATTTACATTGTGAGTTCCAGGAGAGCCAGGGCTATGTAGAAACCCTGTCTCAAAAGACCAAACAAAAACCCCCATGTGACTGTGGGGAGGCACATTTTAATTTCTTTTGGATTTTGCAATTTTCTTTCCTGTTTTTGTTTTGTTTTGTTTTTGAGATAAGGTTTCTCTGTATAGCCCAGGATAGCCTCAAACTAAGAGGTCCACCTGCCTCTGCCTCCTGAGTGCTGGGATTAAAAGTGCATGCCACCACTGCCCAGCCTGGGTTTTTCGATTTCTTTGTCTCTGAGATGGGGTCTCATGCAGCTTAGCCTGGCCTGGATTCCCTGTGTGGCTGATGACTTGAAGTCCTGATCTTCCTGCACTCACTTTCTTAATGCTGGGATCACAGGTGTATACTGTCACACCCAGGTTGGGAATTTCCTTTTTTGAGACAGGGTCTCAGACTATAGACTACGCTGGCCTCCAAATATCAGATCCCCTGCTTTAGCCTTCCCAGTGCTGGGATGGAGGTGCCAGGACCACCCGCTGCAGGCCACCCCCATGCACAATATCAGCACCAACTTAACAGGGATCTGGAGAGACACCTTGGGGTTCATGCTGTCCCAGGTAATACTTGCCCCTCCATCACCCTGGCTATTTTCACAATGGCGGCGGCATAGGTTGCATTCTTGGTGAGAGGGATATCACGGTGTGTACTCATACCTGAAGTGTAACAAAATGGTAACACATGCTGAAATATCTGGGGGTCCCCTAGGATTGGGGTGCACACTGGTCTGTGGAAAGGCTGCAGAGGTGGACATATGCTGGTACACCTGAGCTGGGTTACAGAGTTCTCAGATGGACTGAGAAAGATGAAGAAGGGACCCTTGGTGGGCGGAGTCCTAAAGACAAGCGACTTGGTGGGGGGCTGTGGGCACCTGGTAGCCCTCACCTTCTTTTGATCAGCTGACCCTGTGCAGCAAACAACTGCTACTTTGGATCCTACATTCTCTTTCTCCTTGACTCATGACGAGCCTCGTGGGCACATCCTGACGCCATTCTCGTCACAGAGACAAGGTGTTAGCTGCTGGAGTGCTTACGGGCGTGGTTTTCATTGGACTTCACTTTGGTCCTCACTGTGCTAATGGCCGGACCTTGAGAGGTTCAGATAGCAATTCCCGGGTACCTGTGACTCCAGCACCAGGTAATCTGACACCCAGCTCTGGCCTCTTAAGGTACTGTACTCACGCGCACACAAACACATAAACCCACGATTAAGATAAAAATAAAATTCTAGCAGATCTCAAGAAGTTCTTGGGACAATGAAGGCACTACCTTCAAGGGATGCAAGGTTCTCAGGAGACTCCAGACGGTTCTTGAAAGGCAGTTGCTATAAAAAGAGCAAGCCCAGCCCCTCTCCTTGTTCATGCTTTCCATACTGTTGGCTGTCACATGCTACCGCACTGTGGAAATGCCATCCCCACGAGGTACTCGCTGGACTTTTATAATAAGCCAACTTCAGGTATTTCATTAGTGACAAAAAGTGGACAAATGTGGGCTTCTCTCCCCCTTGAAAAGCAACCTCAGGAGAGGTAGCGAGCCTTCTCTTGCATGACTGTTCACAGGTGGCAGCCCTTCTGGCACCACGAGACAGCTGTGCTAAAACATGGCGATGGCGCTGTGGTTAGTGGGCACTGTGGTCACTGAACTGTCTACTTACTGCTGGAGCTGGTAACGCCTAACATGCCAGTACGTTTGCCGAACATGTTAGAGCAGCCCAAGGCTCTTCCTGTGAGGGTAACTCGTAGCTCCGCCCATCTAGAGATGGAAAGGGGCCCACGGACAGGCTTCTGTTAGTGCTTGAGGAGTGGGGACAGGTCTGCGGGGATGCCCACCCACTCAGGTAGGAAGGCTGCCTCTGGCTTAAAGATTTTGAGGAAGGGAGAATCCGGAAGGGTATAGTTGGCTAGGTAGATGGTGTCACCACCTGCCAGGTAGGCAGCCCAAATCCCGAAGGTTCCAATAGTCATGATGGTGTGGTTGCACTGAGTGAGGAGTGCGAAGTCCTTGGCTGGTGAACCCTCGATGCCATTGCCAGCGAACACCACATCCCCTCGGGAGGCATTGATGTTCTCCTTGCACCAGGCCATCCCATTGCTTGTGACCACAAAGACTGGAGAGGGATAGCGCGCCCGGAACCTGTCCAGCGCCTGTTCCAAGTAGCCCCGGTCAGCCACCACGCCCTTCCACACATTGGGCATGACATGCACATAGTCCCCCCGGCGCACATGGACGCCCACAAACGTACTCGGCTGCCGCCCGTTCACCCGCAGGCCACGCAGGAAGGCCTGGGCCTCCTCACGCACGTGGTCGTGCAGGGTGAACTCCTGCAGGATCTCAGGGCGCAGGTGGTGGTAGAAGGTCCAGGAGCACGGGTACCCCGTGAGGCGCACATAGCGTCCCGGGATGTGGCGGTACCGCTCCTCCATCCAGTCGTTGAGGTGATAGTTCTGCCACGGGATCTTGCTGGCGGTGTCGCTGTGCAGCACCGGGAGGCTGATCCTGAAGATGGGCGCCAGGGCGCTGTGCATGGATGCGGGGATGAAAGCGGGCCTTCCGTTCATCCTGGCCAGTGCGAACAGCGTGGCATACTCGCCCATCTGGTTCCCCAGGCGGCCAATGGAATTGATGGTGAACATGCCCTGCAGCTGGCCACTCCCCTGCTTCTGTGTGATGGCCGGTGCTCCTGTGTGTCTCTCCAAGAGGGGCTGAAGCTTCACTATTCTCTGCTGAAGGTGGATGATGGTGGAAGTCACGAAGACAAAGACCAGGAAGTGGGCCATTGGAAAGGAGAAAGGAACCTGGGCGTTGGCCATGGCTGCCAGGCAAAAAGAAGGCAGGTTAGCTGGGATGCGGCTGGAGCGTGCGCTCGAAGGCGCCCGTTTGGATAATCACCTGGCCTGAGCCCCAGCATCTGTTTTTGTTTGTTTGTTTTCTTTCTGGTTTGTTTGAGACACGATTTCACTCTATAGCTCAGGCTAGCCAAGAAGTGTGTGAGCCCAACCTTCCTGCTCCAGTGTTGGGATTAGAGTGAGCCAGTATGTCCCACTTGATGTCCTCTTTGGAGGGAAAGTGTCCTTCCAGGGCTCGAATGAGGCAGGATGAAGAAAACAACAAAGTGAGGGACATGGGAAGGGGAAGGGTCCCCTCATTCCAGAGTCGGAAGCCTCTCACGGTCTCAGAATTCCAGCACAGTTAATATGTGCTGAGAAGGCCGTCTATGGTTAGTTAATATTTCTGTCACATGTGGATATTTTAGGCTAAGTAGCAGTGCACCTGGATTAAGGCCTAAATGCATATGGCCACGGGTAGGGCCTCATTCCTTTCCCCAGATGGCCTGAGAATCTCCCAGCATCCTCCGCTGCTGGACAGAGATGCTATCCCCAGTTGGGCTTATTGGTGCAGGCCTGTTCTCCCAGCTACCCAGAAGCTGAAGTTGCAGGAGTGCAAGTTCGAGGCCACTCTGGGCCACTGAGTGAGTTCTTTTTTTTTTTTTTTTGGTTTTTCGAGACAGGGTTTCTCTGTGGCTTTGGAGGCTGTCCTGGAACTCGCTTTGTAGACCAGGCTGACCTGGAACTCACAGAGATCCGCCTGCCTGTGCTTCCCGAGTGCTGGGATTAAAGGCGTGCGCCACCAACGCCCCGCCCCGGCTACTGAGTGAGTTCTTATCTCAAATAAGAACTCACTCCAGAGTAGAGTGAGTGTCTAAAACCCACCAATCAGGGACTGAGGGTGTGACTCAGCAGAGGGGGGAGGGAGAGGGAGGGAGAGAGGGAGAGGGAGGGAGAGAGAGCAGGAGCGCAGGAGTGCACCAGGGCCCCGTGGGGCAAAACAAAGGGTACACATGATGACTCTGTGCAGATGTTTGCAGCAAGATGGTTGCCTTGAGAGATCCCAACTCAACATTTTTAGACCCCTAGTGACTAGCCCATCACAGAGTGACTTGCCCTTCTGCCCTCTCCTGAGAAACCGGAGACCTCAAGATAAACTTAAAAGATAACACCCCCTGATCCAGGAACTAGCTCACCACATTCCTGCTCAGTGTTTAACTGTACAGTGCCCAAAGAATGCTTGCTTGAGATAACCTTCCTGTTAAGACATAAGCTGTCATTTATGATGTTTTCCTAACTCCCCGATTCAGTTTTCCCCTTTTAAAAACCCCGACTGCAGCTACTAGGGGTCGATCTCCTCTGCCCCTGCGAGGGTCATGAGCTCAGCCCCAGTGCACTGGTTCCCCAAATAAACCTCATGTGCTTGCAGCAAGAATGGTCTTTCCTGAATTATTGGGGCGTCAGCTTATCCCGAGACTTGAGTGAGGGTCTCCCCACTCTGGGGGTCTTTCAGTGTGGGTACAGGCGGCCCCTGCTGTTGGATCCATGTAGTAGGAGGAGGGAACAGAACGGCAGCGGCATGACCTCCACAGATCACACCTCTCTCACAATCACAGATAAAGAAATACAATAAAAAATAGAAAGCCAGGTGTGGTGGCAGGAACCTTTAATCCCAGCACTGGAGAGGCAGAGGCCAGCTTGGTCCACAGAGTGAGTTCCAGACAACCACAGCACAACACATCTCTGTACCCCAACAGCTGGTGCAGGGGCAGGAAGATATTGGGGGACTACTGATCAGTCTAAACTGACCAGTGAACTGTAGGTTCAGTGAGAGACCCTGTCTAAAAAATAAGGTAGAGGAGCTGGGGGGCTGGCTCGGAGGTTAAGAGCTCTCTACTTTTGCAGAGGACCCAGTGCCCACAATTAGGCGGCTCACAAACACCGAAACTCCAGTTTCGGGAAATCTGAAACCCCCTGTCCTCCACGGCACAGACACATGCACTTAAGTAAAACTAAGACACGGTGGGTCTGAGCAAAGGACTCTGTGGGTACAGTTCCTATGGTACAAACAGAAGGACCCCAGTCCCATCCCTGGCGCTGTGCTAAAGCCTGGCAGCCCGGATCTGCAATCCTAGCACTGGGGTTTGGGTCAAAATGAGCTTGCCAGCCAACAGTGCATTTTCAACCTCTGGGTTCAGTGAAAGACTCTGTCTCAAAGCTAAGATGGGAGGTAAACAGCACAGAATGGACGCCTGACAGCCCCCGGCCTCCACAGGCGCGGGTACAGGCAGTGCACGCGGGTGCACGCTCACCACAGACAAACCAACGCAGGCCTGTTGACTCAGTGCCTGGGTGGGAACTGCATGAATCTAGAGTGTGGGCTCATTGGGATGAGACTCGCCAGTCCCCTGTGACCTCATTAGAGGACACACTGGGCTGCGCCAACTTCCCAGCTCAGCTCTACTCATGAGATGATGTACTTATTTCCTTACTTTTGGTTTATGAGACTGGGTCTCACCCTGTAGCCTAGACCGCTCTGTAACTCACGATGGAGCCCAGACTGGCCTTGAACTCATACCAACCCTCCTGTTTCAGCCTCCCGAGCGCTAAGATTGCAATGTGAGCCACGGGAAGTAAAGGGTACCATCCCAGCCTCAGGAGCAGTGCATTCTGAACATGCTAGTGGCCTGGAGTGAGTGTGCAGTTGCTCTGCAATCCTTGCACTTGCGAGACTGAGGCAGGAGGAGCACAGGACTTGCACACAAGCCTGGGCCACAGTGTGAGACTTTGTCACAATAAAATACACACAGGTGCCAGGTGGTGCCAGGTGGTGCTGGGTGGTGGTGGCGCATGCCTTTAATCCCAGCACTCGGGAGGCAGAGGCAGGCGGATCTCTGTGAGTTCAAGACCAGCCTGGTCTACAGAGTGAGTGAGTTCCAGGACAGCCAGAGATGTTACACAGAGGAACCCGCTCCCTGCAAAACAACAACAAACCCCAAACAAACATGCATGGGCACGCGCATGCTCGCGCGCGCGCACACACACACACACGCACACACACGCACGCACACACACAAACACACACACACAAACACACAGAGGCAAGAAAAAGACCAGAGACAGGTCACCAGAGAGCCAAGGGTAAGGACAGAGCAGGGGTGGAGGTGTCAAGTAGAGACGGCTTCTTTGCCGGTTTAATCTTTTTCCTTTTTCCTTCTACGGTACTGGAGATGGAGCGCAGGGCGGCCAGCACACCTAACAATTGCTTTCTCACTGAGTTATACCCCAGCCCTCCCTGGGGGACTGAAGGCAGGGCCTCTTCTGCTGTCTTTGTTGCTTTAACTTGGAGATAGACTCACTAGGTTGCCTGTGCTGGCCCTGAATTCATTCTATAGCCCAGACTAACTAACGTCCTCAGTCCCTGAGTGCTGAGTTGCAGACCAGGGACACCACAATAGACTGAATCTACACTTCCAGTGATTTTGCTTTTGTTTCTTGCCAGGTTCAAAAGAAACTCCACTCCCCCGGATTCTGGTACCCCTTTCCCCTCTACTGAAGGAGCCGTTCCCCCTCAGGGTCAGAAGAGATAAAGGCTGTCTGTGGCGTCTCTCAGCATCCTGAAGTGCAGAAGTGCACTGACTCTAGACTCACTTCGAGCCTGGGGCTCCTCTCAGCTCCTCTCAGCCAGCCTCCTAGCTCAGGAGTTTTCCTTCCCCCAGCTTCTCATTCCCGTATAACACTGCCATTTCAGCCATGGCTTTCTTGGCCCTTGTGGTGAGCAGGGAGGTATAACAGATGCTATACTTTATTATGCTGAAGGATCCTCACACAACATTCACCCTCTAAGTTCCTAACCACAGTCCTGGGCTTGTCTCCCCAAGGACGCTCACCTGTGCCACGTATCTTTATCTTAGTGGAAGTTTGGGTTCAGCCTCTCACCGCTCTGGGGTCAGGATCCTGGGGGAGAGACTCTCCAGGGCAGATCAAGGTGGCGCCTCTCCAGGCCTCCAGCAGTCCTGAGGGAGCGAGAAGCAATGCACTCTCGGTCCCCTATGTACATCCTACCCAGTGGCGCCATGGGGCTCTACTGAGCAGTGTGTCGGGTTATGTGGAGTAAGTGCCGTCACTGGGATAGGTCTGAAACCTGTGCCTATTTAAGCAGACGCTGGCCAGGCTCTGAGCATTGTGAGTCCCTCTTACAAAGTCATCCTGGGGGCACAACCCTAAACTCTCCAACCCCTGAGCATCTCTTGCCCCATGATTACTACATAACCGCCATTTCGTCTGCATCCTCTTGGCTCTTGGCTCAGCTCCAGGACCACTCTTCATCCATTTGTCCCCTCCCCCTTTTCCTCCTCCCTCCCTCTTTTCCGCCCTCTCCCCTCATGGCCCAGTCTGGTCTACTGGCCCCGCTCAGTCTGGACACTTCTGGAAGTTCTTTCTGTTCTCTTCTGGCTGTGCTCTCTCTCATGTGTGCAGTAAAAAGCCTTCCCCTCAACCACACCTTGGAGCAGGCATGTCTGAGCATTTGAGACAGTCTCACTAAGCTGCCCAGGCTGAATTCACGCTGTCACCCAGCCTGGCCTTGAACTTCTGTCCTTCCTTTTCTACCTCTGCAGCACCAAGCCTGCCCTACTGGGCTCATCTTGGTACCAGTTGTATGGGGGAAAATAATGGGAAGGCACACTTCGAAATCAGGTGCTTTCTCCAGGCTTTCATCCGAGAGCTGTGCATCTCCGTAAGACTCATCTGGCTTGAGAGAAAAAGGAAAGTAGGGTGTTTTGGAATAATGTTAGGAATAGTGTTTGCAGGCTGTGTCTGCGCTGGTTCCCGTTGCTCAGGAAGGGAATTGATGGTGTGTGGAGGCTGCAGGCGGTGAATGGCCAGGAGCCTGCTGTGAAGCCTCACACCTAGCCGTGGGGAATAGATAGTGGCAGAGCTGTGTTGCCCTGGCCCCTCTGCTTCAGACAGACGTTTGCTGACTGTGGCAGTACTGACCAGTGGACCCCCAGGTATCAAACTCACGCTCAGTCACCCTGTGCTGTCACCGCAGGGTGACTTCATGCACTCGTGGACGGTAAGACGGGAGAGGAGCTCGGGTGAGCGTGAGAAGGCCAAGGGCTGTGGAGGGAACTGGGAGCAGGCTGAGGCCACAGGAGGCTGACTGAAGAGCAGCAGTAGGCGGAGCCTAGACTCCCCTTGGTTCTCAGTGGTCAGGAAGTTCATCACTTGGCCAGCCTCAGTTTCTACAGCTGCTTCAACACCTCTGGGGCCACAAGGTTTAAAAAAAAAGTGAGTTCATGTTTGCCCCTTCCTCCATCTGAGTGGGGCCTTCCATTGGAGGGTGCTGTATGTGAGAAAGAAGGCTTCTCCAGCTCCCTGGAGCATTCCTTCCCCCTCTCCCTCCCTTCCTTGTCAGGGATTTTCCATTTAGTCCAGGTTGACACCTAACTCACAGCAATCCCCCTGCCTCAGCTTCTTGAGTACTAATATAACAAGCATGAGCTGTTCCACCTCTTTCTCTCCTCTCCCCTTTGGCTCAGCCTCCTGTTTGCCTTTTCCATCCAGAGACTGCCCGGCCCCAACGCCCTTCCGTATCAACACACAGATGGGACCCACCCCATCAGTGCATTAATTCCCGTAACTGGCACCGCCCTCACCTGCTCTGCCCCTGTGCCGAGGAACGCTGGCATCATGATTCTCAGGGCAGCTTGTGAAAGAGCTGCCACACCGACATCTCAAACAGAGCGACAGAGAGAGTGTTGTGATGGACTGACCCAGGATCTACTCTCCCCCCATGGTAGGGGGCAATTGCAGGTTTCTGAGGGCCCTTAGACTGATGTGGGAGCCACGGACGTGGGAACAGGAAAATCCGGTTGCACTCAAACCAGCGCTGCCCTCCATCCACCTTTGTTCCTGGAGCAGGGAGGGACCTGCGGGGGGGGGGGTTGGGGGGGTGGGATGAGGGAGACTGGGTCTGGGAGCATGGAGGGATTCCAGATGGGAGTACCGGAAGTCAGGCTACTGGTGCTGGAGGAACCAGGGCTGGGGGACCAGTGGCTGGGAACCAGGGGCTGGGGAGCCAGGAACTGAGGGACCAGTGGTTAGGGAACCAGGAGCCGAGGGACCAGTGGCTGGGGGACCAGGGGCTGGGGGACCAGGAACTGAGGGACCAGGAACTGGGGGATCAGTGGTTAGGGAACCAGGAGCTGAGGGACCAGGGGCTGGGGGACCAGGAGCTGGGGGACCAGGGGCTGGGGGACCAGGAGCTGAGGGACCAGGGGCTGGGGGACCAGGAGCTGAGGGACCAGTGGCTGGGGGACTAGGGGCTCCAAGACCAGGAGTTGGGGGAGCTAGGGATTGGAAACATCGAGGTCTTAGAACTCAGGATCTGGAGGTTTCAGGAGCTGAAGGAACTAGCTGGGGGCTTGAGGCTGAGGACTCAGGCTGGGAACCCAGAGTCTGAGGAGCCACATCCTGGATTCTATTTGCCAGCAATGGTATCTCCTCCCAGAGAGCCCTGGGGTGGGATGGAGACCAACAGGTCCACATTCTGGGTCCCTAGGGTTTGTTGAGGGAACAGGAGACTTGTCCCCAACCTCCTCACCCATGCTCACCTCTTCTGGCTGTGGTAACAGAGGACAAGGTGCTCTGCAGGCAGGTAGCTCAGTGTTCCTTCCAGCCTGGCCCTTCATTCAGGCCCAAAGGTTCCTGAACCTTCTTACAAGCCTGGATAGAAACCCCGCCCAGGGTGGACCTGCTGACATCCTAGAACCGGTGTGGCTAGGCTTCCAGAGGGAGGCAGGCCTGAGGTTGGCTTCCTCTCAGGTGCCTTCCAGGATGCTGGTTAGGCGGGGCAGTCTGAAGGAGCCCAGCCCGTATTCCCCTGCAGTACTGACTGTAGACTCCCGGACCATTTATCTGGGCAAACAACTGTACCAGACCCCTCAGCTGCCAACTGGGTCCAACAGGAGACACTTTGGATTTATATGTGTGTGCATGTGTTTGTGTGTGCACATTCGTGTGAGCGTGTGTGTGTGTGTGTGTGTGTGTGTGTGTGTGTGTGTGTGTGTGTGTGTGTGTGTAAGGCTGTCCATCTTGATCAGGGTCTCCTGTTTCTGCTATGCTGTGTGTTCCAAGCTAGATGCTTGAGAGTTTTCGCATGTCTCTCTCTCTCTGCCTCTCTTCTCCCTGTAGGAGAGCTGGTATTATAGATGCGTACTAAGCATCGGGTATTTTATGTGAGTGTTTGGGATCAAACTGAGGTTATCAGGCCTGGGCTGGGAGTGCTTTGATCTGTGAAGCCCTCTTACTGGCTGCCCTCCTCCACTTTTATGCCTGTGCTAAGAAGGATGGAACTCAGTCCTCACACTTGCTCAGCAAAGGCTCTATGGATTGAGCCCTCTCCTACCTTGTGAGCCAAAGCTGTACAAGGGTTTTTGGGTTTCTCCCTATTGGTGTGTGTGGGATTTAACCAGTGCCTAATGCACCACACTTTAGCTCCTATGGCCGACATTCTTTGGTTTTGAGACAGGGTCTCACTATGTAGTCCTGGTTTGCCTGGAACTTGTTGGTTTCGAACTCACAGATCTACCTCCTAAGTTTCTGCCTTCTAAGTGCTGGGACTAAAGTCCTGCACCATCAACCTTGACCCTAATAGTGGGCATTCTTTTTTTTTTTTTTTTTGAGACAGGGTTTCTCTGTATTGTTTTGGAGGTTTTCCTAGAACTTGCTCTGTAGACCAGGCTGGTCTCGAACTCACAGAGATCCTCCTGCCTCTGCCTCCCGAGTGCTGGTATTAAAGGTGTGTGCCACCAATGCCCAGCTAGTAGTGGGCATTCTTAATAGTTCTATGTGCACAGGAGAAACCAAAATACAGAGAGGGAAGGTAAATTTCCCAGAGTCACACAGCCACTTAAAGCTAGGCAAGCTGAGGCATGGAAAACGCTACACAAACAGCAACTCTTCTAAGATCCACTTTGTTTCTGTTATTGTTTTTGTTTTTTGTTTGTTTGGTTTTATTTTTGAGATGGTTACTCAGCCTGCTTTCTTTGATTTTTTTGTTTGTTTTGTTTTGTTTTTTGTTTTTTGTTTTTGTTTTTTTGAGACGCTGTGGCTTTGAAGGCTGTCCTGGAACTAGCTCTTGTAGACCAGGCTGGTCTCAAACTCACAGAGATCCGCCTGCCTCTGCCTCCCGAGTGCTGGGATTAAAGGCGTGCGCCACCACTGCCCAGCCTCAGCCTGCTTTCTTATACCATCTAAGACCAACTGGCAAGAAATGCTACCACCCTCAGGGATCTGAGCCATTGTATTAGTGAAGGTTCTCTTAAAGTCACAGAATTTAAGGAATGAATCTTTCTCTCTCTCTCTCCCTTTTTCTCTCTTTCCCTCTCTCCCTCTCTCTAATACACATATATATGAAATTGAATTCATTGGAATGACTTGCCAGCTGCAGTCCAACAATGGCTAGTTATGAATGGAAGTCTAAGAATCTAGTGTCTGCTCAGCTCCATGAGGCTGGGTGTCCCAGCTGCTCTGCTGGGATCTTGAAGAAGGGATGAATGGGCTGAGGAGAAGAGGACAAGCAGGTGAAGAACGCTCTTCCTTCCCCCATTGTCCTCACATAGGCTTCCAACATAAAGTGTGGCCCAGATTAAAGGGGAGCCATCCAGACTCAAGGTCTGGATTAAAGGCACGGTGTCTTCCTGCCTCAAGATCTGGATCACAGTGTGTCCTCCATTTCTGGATTGTAGTTCATTCCAGATATAGACAAGTTGACAACCAGGAATAGCCATCACAGCCATCCTACATCAACCTCTAAGTAAGAAAACGCACTCCAGGCTTTCCCGTGGGATAATCTGGTGGGACATTTTCTCAAGTGAGGTTTCATCTTCCCATATGACTCTGAACTTATACCAGGTTGAGAAAAACACTTAACAGCATAGACAGCAATTGAAGAAGATACTGAGTATCTGCCTCTGGCCGCCACAGTGCCTGTGCACACACACAGGAACATGCACCCAACACATACACAATAATAATAAAATAAAAATAAGGGGAAGGACAGCAGACGTGCCTCCTGTGGCAGAGCACCTGCCTAGGGTCTGCCAGTGAGGAGTTTGGGGCGTGACCCAGGCTAAAGTGCCTGCCTAGCATGCCAGGCTGGGTTCAGTCCGCCATATCGAAAACAAACAAATAAAACTCAAACATGAAAAGTCCCCATCAAAGCGACCTTTCTTCTCTGATTGCTTACTTTGGGACAACAGAAGGATGGAGTTGCTGTGAGTGGGTATCATGACATCTGGCAAACCCAGAATGTGGGACAGTTGAAATACAAAAGGCCATTTTTCCTAACCTATTCAGGCCATGGAGGAATAAAAAACAACATGTGCTTAGCAGGCGTGCAAAGCTGATCCTGGGTTCAGAGGTCAGCAGGCTTCTCTCCCTGCTCCCCTGATATACCCACTGTGCAACAGCCACGCGGAAATCCAGGTGCCGTAGCTTGCATCTGCAATGCCAGCTAGCAGGTGAATTTGAGGCCTGCCTCAAGAAGGAGGAGGAGGAGGAGGAGGAGGAGGAGGAGGAAGAGGAGGAGAGGAAGAAGAAGAAAGAAAGAAGGAAGGAAAAAAGCAAAGCACCCAATCACCCAATGAAGAGCCCTCTCCCAGTGGTTGAAAAAAATTACTAAGCTGTCCCATCCTTAGACATGAACAGTTGCACTTAAAGATAGACATCCTCCCCGGTGGTCCTCAAGTACTTGGAAATATTTCCCAGACCTCAGTCCTCAAGGACTTGGGCACATTCCTCAGACCTCAAGGTTCCAGGCCGGTCACAAAGTTCAGCCAGGGCACAGACGTTGCCTGAGACAGTTAACGAGCCAGTCAGCCAGACAGCCACAAGCGTGCGTGATTCATGAAGGTCTGGCACCAACTTCCAAACTCCCCTTGTACCCCCACCACCCCGTTTGCGGTTTCAGGCTTTAAAATCTCGTAATTTCTGCTCGGAGTTCACTCCTTCCCAAGGCTGCTGAACCCCAGCGCACTGGCTTAATAAAAATCCTCTTGTGTTTTGCAACGAACCCCGGCTCCCTGGTGGTCCTGAGAGGGTCCTGAGAGAAAGACTGCAGGGTCTTTCACCAACTGCAAATTGACAGGGTTTGGAACGCTTCTGCACTGTGTGGGGTGGGCATTGCACCTCCACTCACCAGGATGCTTTGTTAGTGTTATGAAAACAAAGATGGCCCACTGTCTCCCATGAGACAGCACCCCGGTGTAGAGCTGTTGTCCCAACCCCCTTATTCTGTTTTCAAACCAGGGCTGCGCTGGTAAACACCAGAAGAGCTCTTTATAGAGAACCTGTCCGCACGCTCTCTCTGCGTGGTCCATTTGAAACTACCACATGGAATTTGGGAATGTGAGAAAAATGCTGTACAGAACATTGTCTAAAGATCCTGGGGTGTTGGTGGCGCATTCCTTTAATCCCCCAGCACTTGGAAGGTAGAGGCAGGTGGACATTTGTGTGTGTGTGTGTGTTTTTTTTAAAGTTTTTTTTTTTTTTTTTTTTTTGGTTTTTACGAGACAGGGTTTCTCTGTATTGTTTCGGAGGCTATCGGTCCAGCCCGGCCTCGAACTCACAGAGATCCGCCTGCCTCTGCCTCCCGAGTGCTGGGATTAAAGGTGTGCGCCACCACCGCCCGGCTTAAAGATTTATTTATTTATTACATATACAGTGTTCTGCCTACATGCCAGAAGAGGACACCAGATTGAATTGTAGATGGTTGTGAGCCACCATGTGGTTGCTGGGAACTGAACTCAGGACCCCTGGAAGAGCAGTCAGTGCTCTTAACCTCTGAGCCATCCCTCCAGCCCCCCTTTGTGTGTTTGTGGCCAGCCTGGTTCCAGGATAACCAGGTTCCAGGATAACCAGACCTACACAGAGGAACCCTGTCTCAAAAGACCTGGAAAAAAGAAAGAGTCTGCGAATAGGGCCATCAACAACCTGGAGTTGCCATGGGGCATGAGAGTCAACCACCAGGGTGGGCAGCATGGGAAACCACCCAAAATGTCCTTGGTTTGGGATATGATAATGTATTCATCTATAAATGAGCTTTCAGGGAGTCCTCCTGCCTCAGTCTCCCAAGTGTGGGATCACAGATAGTGCTACGTAGCATTTTATTCAGATCTTGGTTGTGCTTAGACTCAGCCATCACGATGCAGATGCCAAGTGCCCCTGCTGAGCTCTGTGTGTAGGCCCCAGATACAGGCTCAACTCAAGCAGAGAAAATGGGGGACAGCTCTGCCACTGACCTGCCCACAGTTACCACAGTCCTCAACTGTACTTCGTGAGTGCTCCTCTGTTTACTCAGCAGCATTTACTATGTGCAGGGTGTCACGGAAGCAGGGGCAAGAGACCTCTGACTTAGGACATACAAGCAGTGCTCGGCCTGTTGAAGAGCAGGGAAGGCAGAAGGCGAGGAGTGGGCTTGACAGTTCTGTTTCATAGGTTGCAACACAATAGCAACTCCATCAGTATGCATTGAATAACAAGTGTGGGTGATACTGAGGCTCTGTACAAGACCATTTGATACTTTGTAATGCAAAGGTGTGGAACTGACCTGTGTTACTGTGTGATGAATGTTGGAAACCATGCTGACACAAAAAGATGCTAATAGGCTTTCTGCACCCCTACCCCCACCTCTCCCACCCCAAGCCCCCATGTTTCTCTGGAGATGCAGTAGGCCAGATCAAACCGAATTTAAAAAGTATCACAGCAGGTTTATTTTAGCAAAGCAATTGCCCAGGTGAGAAGCCACGCCCACAAATGAAAGCAGGGAGATTTTACAGGTTGTGATTAAGGGGTGATGATGTGTCTGTCACAAGCTGGGTTTGTGCCCAAGTATAGTCAAAAGCTGGGCACCTTGGGGCGGGGAGGGGGGACTTGGGCAGCTGAGCAACTTCGGGGGAAGAAGCTGGAATAGCTGCCAACCATGCAGCTAGGGGTTTTCTGGCGACTTTTCTGTGTCTGGAGACTCTCTGAGTTGGTGGGGTTTGGAGAAGAAACAGGAAAGGGGCTTTCTAGATCATGTAGGGGGAGCTGGAGGTTCCAAATGAACAGATGCTACTGTCTAGTTCTGCTGAAACCAAAGGTCAAGCCATGTCAACCCACAGAAACACGCTGAGGGGAGGAGTGCCCGGGAGGGATGACCAGTAGGAACCGGCTTTCTTTGGGAAGTGTGACAGGGAAAGGCTCTAGTATCCAAAAATGATGGTTGACTAATATGAATTATTAAAATGGTTGTATTTAGCATTTTAAGATAGTGAATTTTTGCCAGGCGGTGGTGGAGCACGCCTTTAATCCCAGCACTCAGATGGCAGAGGCAGATGGATCTCTGTGGATTCAAAGCCAGCCTGGTCTACAGAGAGAATTCCAGGATAGCCAGAGCTATACACAGAAACACTGTCCTCTAAAACAAACAAAAGCAACCAAGTAATTACTTTTAAAATAATCTCAAGAAAAAATGGCAAGATGGAGGTATAATTTTGTGCAGATTTCTTAATTAAGTATCTATGTGTGGCTGGTATATGAAGATGCCTGCACAGGCCAGAAGAGGGCGTTGGAGTTCCTGGAGCTGAAGTTATCGATGGTTCTAAGGTACCCTGAGTGATTGCTGCAGACCAAACCAGGGTCTTCAGGAAGAACAGCAAGCTCTCTTAGTCGCTAAACCACCTCTCTGGCTCCTGCCTGTGTCTTTTTACCGCTTGACCTGTCTTGGATGCCATACACTGTTCCTACCAGGCCCTCTCTATCTTCTCCGCATCAGGCATCTCCGTGGCTCCTGTGACCCCCCAGGAGTCTTTCCTGCCTAGCTTTGATTCCATGAGGCTGACCCTGGCATGTTCCTGCTGAAAATTCTGTTCCCAATTCTGGCTCCTCCCTTCCACACTCTGGCTCCTGGGGACCTGTTGGAGTCCCAGCAGCAGTCTGGAAGACCCAAAACTGTGCAGCCTGGAAACCTTGGCTTAATTTCCTTTAGAAAATGTATGCTCCCCACTCATTCACCCCAGATCCCAGTGAACTACACATTGCCTCCTCCCTGTCCAGGCATCAAGGCAGGAAAGTATTTTGCCCAGATTGTAGAGCCCCCCCAAAAACCAACAAGGAGATCAAATCCCATTTGTGAAAGCAAAGAACCTTTATTCGAGCTTGAGCCTGGACCGTCCATCTGCCTGGCACACAGTTGAGAATGGAGAACCCAGGCTGGGTGGGGCAGGGTTTTTATAATAGTAGAGGTTGGGTGAGGGTTGATATTTGTCTAGGGATGTCTTGGTGAAAGGGGATGGATGTGCTGGGCTAAGGGATATCAGGAGATCCTAGCTACAATGGTTGGAACGTTGAGAATTTCCTTTGGTACTTTCCCCTTGGATAGTCCATTCCTGTGTGGTGCCTGGGTGGTCTCAGTTTATGGTCTTTTCCTGGAGTCAGGTGTTGCTTTAGGGTAAACTGAAAACTCAGCTGAGCCTTGGCATGGCAGCAGCATAGCAAAGTGGCAGGTATGTAACAAGTTGCCCTGAAACCAGAGGCAACCCTGCCCTGATCAACTGAAACTAACCAATCCCTGAGCAGGAAAACCAACCAATCCCTGAGCAGGAAAACCAACCAATCCCTGAGCAGGAAAACCAACCAGTCCGTGAACAGGAAATCTTCTCCCTGGGAACACTCCACCCCTAAGAAGCCCTATATAAGCCCCTCTACCTGCTCAGTTGCTGGATGTCCTATTCCACCCTAGCAGAGGCAACCACTCTCTTGGATTCCTCCTTCCCTAATAAATCTCTTTCTTAAAAGAGTTTTTGCCAGGCTGGGTGGTGGTGGTGCATGCCTTTAATCCCAGCACTTGGGAGGCAGAGGCAGGTGGATCTCTGTGAGTTCGAGACCAGCCTGGTCTACAAGAGCTAGTTCCAGAACAGTCTCCAAAGCTACAGGGAAACCCTGTCTAGAACGAAAAAAATTTGGTGAAGATCATTTGCCAGCATGAAGCAGAAGAACCTTTGCTGAGACATTCCCTTAGCCCCCCACTCCCCCCATCCTGCCCCACTTTTCAAAGGAGCCAGAGGAGATTGCTATACCACTGTAGGGGTTTGCGCTTTAACAGAGTGAAGTAGAAGAAGTAGCATCTAGGGCGGGAGGTGAGCAGAACAGAAGAAAGGGTTAGCTCTGCTAGGAAGTTCCCTTAGGAGAACCCAGCAGAGCTCAGCTGTAATAGCTCTCTCTAGGAGAGCAGCAGGATTGCTACAGTCTGCAGGGAGGCCATCCCCCACCGCACCCCAGCTTCAGGTATGGCCTGACCTCCTGACAAGCCAGGATACCTTTCCCTCCAGAGCTGTCCTAATGCAGCTCCAGCGTCCAGAATTGTCCCTCTGCAGCTCCAGGTATAGCCCGACTTCCGACAAGTCAGGATGTCTTTCCTTGCAGCTGCTCTTCCAGAGGAACCTGGTTCAATTCCTAGCAACCACATGGCAGATATCTGCCTGTAACTTCCGTTTCAGGGGATCTTACACCTTCACACGGACAAAACATGGATGCACATAAAATAAAAGTAAATTATTTTTAAAAAATAAAATAAAAATGAAAGTAAAGGGTGCTGGAGGATTATGATCCGCAAAGTTGAAATGCTGGAATTCTGTCAAGCAGCCATGGTCACCATGTGGTCCAGGCCACATAGTGACTGGAAGACAGAACCAATCAACTCAGCCCACTGAAATCACACAAAATGCCATTGCCTGGCACCATCCTTAGTGGACAGAGAAGGAAACTGAGTCTCAGAGAAAGGTATCAATTGCCTAAAGTCAGTAAACAGCAGAGGTGGGGTTCAAATTCTGAACCCTCTCTGTATTTTCTGACTGTTGCGGATCTTAGACATGTTTTCTTCTCTTGAAGCGTCTCACTTCTTTTTTATGTTGTGTGTAGGGGGGGGATGGGGAGCGTGTACATCATATGGTGTATGAGAGGAGGTCAGAGGACAGCTTGGGGGACGAGGCTCTCTCCTGTTGCCGTAAGGACCCGGGGAAGTAAGCACAGGTTATCAAACACCTTTTCCCGCGGACTGAGCCACGTCATCAGCCCAGGCGACACTTTTTAGTCCTTGAGCTCTTGGGAATTCTCCCACTTCTGCTGAGATTGCAGGCATGATCCACCAGGTATGATTTTCTGAGCGGTGTGCAAGCAACTCTCTACAACTACCTTGTCTTGTTAAACCTGTGTGCCCATGAAACAACTCCTTCCCTATCTATTCTCGGCCCCTGGCGCCCACATAACTTTCTATCTCTATGACTCTCTACTGGACATGTCATTTGATTTTTGTCTCTTTGCCTGGGTCATTTTCATGCTCCTGGGCGCAGTCATTTCTCTAGAAGCACACGGCTAATAAGGGCGCAGTCGGACATAACAGCTGGAATGCAGAGCCTTGCACTGCATGGTGTCACTCAGGAGCATGTGCATTACAGGGGTCAAACCCCACAAGCTCTGCTTTTCTGTAAGAATGAAGCGGACGAAGAGGGCTGTTCAACCTCGAGCCTGCTCTGATTGAGCTCAACACTCAGAATGAGCTAGCAGGCAGGCCCCGCCCGGACGGGGCTCAGCTCAGATGCAGCGACAGCTAGACAGCATCTTTTTTCTTCTTCCTTTTTTAGTTTTTTCAGACAGGTTTCTCTGTGTAGTCTTGGCTGTCCTGGCACTCTCTCCATAGACCACGCTGACCTTGAACTCACAAAGCTCCACCTGCCTCTCCCTCCCAAATCCTGGTGTTTTAAGGGCGGGCGCCACCACCGCTCAGCAATTTCTTTCAGAAAGCTCACATCCTGACCTCCATGAGCCCAAAAGCTGAGATCAATTACACATAAGCAAAAGTTCTTGGGTCCTTCTTGGCAGAACCTGCCCAGCTTCCTGGTACAGCTAGGGTCACACCCTGCCTGACTCACTCAATATTCCCTTCATATCATTTATATCACATACTAACGGGAAGGCAGGCCTCAGCCAAGGTCAACAGGAAGTTAACCTTTGGTGTGTGTGTGTGTGTGTTGCTGAGGATGGAAGCCAAGGCCTCTGAGAGCTAAGCACATGGTGGACACTCCATGCAGCATGTCAGCCAGGGCACAAAAGGCTCTTACTCAGTGTGCATATCATTCATTTGGTGCGTGCTCAGCATGTTTTTCTTCGGGGCCTGCGTGACAGGTTGGGGTAAGGTGAGCTGGACACTCAGGGGTGCAGAACACGATTGACTCTTAGGAGTGGGTGTCTGCCATAGGCAGTCTTTTTTTTTTTTTGTTTTTTGTTTTTTGTTTTTCGAGACACGGTTTCTCTGTGGCTTTGGAGGCTGTCCTGGAACTCACAGAGATCCACCTGCCTCTGCCTCCCGAGTGCTGGGATTAAAGGCGTGCGCCACCAACGCCCGGCTGCCATATGCAGTCTTTACTCTCCAAGTCTCTGTGGTCAGTGGTTCTGATGGGTCAAGGGTCACTTCATCATAACCAGTGGCACTACTTTCAGGTAAGGATGTCGTCACAGGCGTTTGAGGAGTGGACACCAGGCTGGGTCACCTTTAGCTTAGGCAGCGCCCGCCGGCTCAGTGGTTTCCTTCCTCTCCCCTGCTGAGGGACTGGGCTGTCTTCGACCCATTTAAGAGCTGGGTAAATATTTGCTGGATGAATGTGGCATTTATTGTCATTGGCAGATTACCAGCCCCTGCTTGGGCTTTTGTGAAGTAAAAGCTGTTTGTATCTTTGTTCAAGCCAGGCCAAGCAAACACAGAGCTGGGCAGGGTGCCTTCATCACAGGGCTCCCGTTGCCATCAAATTACCTCCTAGGAGAGTCTCCATCTGTCCCCACCAGGCCTGATGTGGGGGCCAGAGCAGGGAACAGGGATCGGTCCCAGCCAGGGGCTGTGGTGGCTGAGGCTTTGTTCTCCAGGCTAGTGTGCTGTAAATGTCCTGTGTCCACACCCTTTGTACTGGCAAGTTAGTGAGGGTAATGTGAACCAGGGATTTAAATTACCGCCCCAATTTCCTTCCCCTTCCTCTCTGGCTCCTCCTTCATTTCTCTGTCTTTTTTTTTTTTTTTCTATTTTGAGACAGTCTCACTATGAGGAACATGAGGTGATTTCCTCAGTATAGCTAGCTCATGGGAACAGCCGTACTGTCCCTGGCAAGGTAAATGCTACAAGTTCTCTCTCTCCAGCTCTGAACTAGACCCCATCAACTCAGCCCAACAGGAAGCCACGGGCTGTGGCTACAGAGAAAACTAGGGAGGTGGTTTGGGGGTGAAGAGCTGGAGCATGGGGATCACAGGTGAGTGGGAGAGGGGACTGTGCTTCCCCGAGGGCCCCTGCACCCTGCTGGAGGCTCTCACAGAAGTCTCTGGGAACGGGGAGTTGTAGTTCTGAGGGCAGGGGGTTAGCAATCTGAGTCAGGGAAGGCAGGCCCCAAGGTTCCGAGGAGCCAGCATTATACACTGACTGTCGTCTCCACAGAAGTTTCTGTCTTAAATCCTCTTCCCAGACACACACAAAATGTGTAGATGCAATTAAAAGTGAAGTCAGAGCAGTGCGAGCGCTGGTGTCACGTGTCCTTCTGGCCCTGCGTGACTGCAGTCTCTACAAGATGAAATGTGGAGACCAGGTGGGTTGGGTTTGGCTGCAATCTTGGCACTCAGAAGGTTGAGGCAGGAGGTTTACCTTGAGTTCAAGACTAGCCTGTGCCACAGCTGGGCGTGGTGGCGCACAGCTTTAATCCCAGTGCTTGGTAGGCAGAGGCAGGTGGATTGCTGCATTCAAGGCCTGCCTGGTCTACAGGGCAAGTTCCAGGACAGCCAAAGATACACAGAGAAACCCTGTCTTGAAATACGCCCCTCCTCCCCTCAAAAGAGGAGGGGATATAGACAGACACAGATGAACATGGCCGCATATGGCTGGGACACCGACCCTCTGTCACCAGCACAGGAAGCAGCCTGGTCTCACCTTCACCTCAGCCCTCCAGGGCATTCTGCTGGTCGGGTGTGCTACGGCCACACTGAGACCCTGGTCCACTGATGTGCCACTTGCAGATGGCCCAGCCTGTGGGGCTTCTGGTGCACACCCCCACCCCCACCCCTGCAGCCAGCTCATCCACAAGCCCTCCCTCCATCAGATGTTCTGCTGGACACCATGTGGCTGGAGAAAACGCACAGAGCAGACCCCTGAGGCCAGGCATGTAAGACGTCAATTCTTAGGTCTTTCTGGGGGACCAAGCCACCATTTTTCCCTAGCGGTGGGCATCAGCCTTGGCATTGGCAGCGGTGTTGAGTACCCTGGAGCGGTCCATGCAGGCCCAGTCCCCATTCCCTGCCGGGAGCCCTCTATGCCCACAGAGTGGGATGCAAATGTGTCCCACCCAACACACAAAGGCTGAGACGGGAGGGGTCAGCCAGGGCTTCATTGGTAGACCTGTATCACAAAGAAAATGTGTACTAAGGGGCTGAGAGATGGCTCAGAAGTTAAGAGCTCTGATCGCTCTTCTGGAGGGCCTGTGTTCAATTCCAAGCACCTATATGGCAGCTCACAATCATCTACACTGCAGTTCCAGGGGATTCAATGCCCTCTTCTGGCCTCCATGGGCACCAGACACGTACAGGATACAGACATCCGTGTAGGAAGGACACTTATACATACTGGCAGCTCACCCAGCTGTCCATGCTATGGCTTGACTGTCCTGAGGGCACAGGCTGGATGCTGATTATAAATCAGTTATGGGTTTGGGCTGGGGTGGGGTGGTGGCTTTACAAGAGTCTGAGGCTACAACTCTTTTTTTGCACTACACCTAGTGTCCCAGTATGAGGCAGATATTGGTGCCACATTCTGAGATCTGGTGACAGCAACAGAAAGCAGACCATGATGACCCAGCAGTTCCAGCAGGGCTTCAGTGAGCAGCCTCAGCCCCTGGCCCGGGTCAGGCTTTCTGGATAGCTGTGCTCTGGAGTGTTGGCTGCATGCACCATCCTGGGCCTGCTGACCATGGTGTACCTTTACGATTGCCTCTCCACCGCTGGAGGAGGCTGTCTGATGTTTTTCTGCCAGTGTAGTGGCTGCGTGTGAAAATACTGATATTTGAATTATCATCCATGACCCCACAGCCCTGTAGTCAGCGCCCTGCAGACCACTCAGAGCATAGCCTGGAAGGAAATATAGATTTAAAACTATTGTTTAATTTTTTCAAGACACAGTTTCTCTGTGTAACAGTTCTGGCTGTCCTAGAACTTATTTAATAGACCAGGCTGTCCTCGAACTCACTGAGATCCTCCTGCCTCTGCCTCCCGATTGCTGCGATTAAAAGCGTGTGCCACCAGCGCCCGGCTGTCTCTATGGTTCTATTTACCAGCAAAGACCTGGAGGGCAGATGTGGAGGTGAACCCTGCTAGATCCGAGGCCAAGCAGCAGCCAGCTGACCCTTCTTAGATACGGCCCTCTGCTTGTCCTAACCAAAGGCAACAGAGACTCTGGCCCCACCTCTTCCTTCTTGTGCGCCTCTCTATCCATGTTCCCGGCTCCTCTGGACTCTATGGCTAATTCCAGTCAACTAGTTGCTGACTCTGCCCCCTGAGCTAAGGTTGATCTTATTTAATTAATGCAAATTCAAACTTGAGGTTCACAATGTGATCAAATATCCCACAACAGGTGCCCACCACCCTGGCACTTTCGTCAGACCTATCCCTTCAGCTTCCCTTCCCTTCTCTGATAAGGCCACTATCCCAAAGCCCAAGCTCCCAGCTGCCAGAAATGCATGTCCCCATAACAGCAGGACAGGGGCTGTGCTATCACCAAACACCGCCCAGGACCCTGCCTACCAGTTGGTGATGCAGGAAGGGAAACAAGGCTGTCTCTGCTGACTCCTCTCATGTCACCTGACAAAGCTCGAGGCTTTCTGGGAGAGAGAAAAACTGTCCGCACCGGGTTTGCCGGGCATTTTCTCCACTGATGCAGGAAGGCCAGTTCCTGGGTGGCGCCACCCTGGGCAGGAGGTCCTGGGTCATATAAGGCACTCCTGCATGGCCTCTGTGTCAGCTCCTGCCTCAGGGTCCTTCGTTTGAGCTCCTGCTCTGACCCCTCAGGGATGGGGAGCACAGGCTGATACAGGCACCTTCCTCCCCAAGCTGTTCCCTGTCATGGTGCTTTATCACAGCCATGGGAACCCTGGCTAAGACGCTGCCCTCCACGTGAAAGCCTGGACACGGCAGGAGGCTGTGGTGGCCAACTCCCTCTGGAGATAGAGGACTCGAGTCACCTGTGCGTGCTGCTGCTGAGAACCCAGACTGTGCTCACATTTTCAGGGTGACATCACTGCCCTGAGATCACTCAGCTGCAACATGTAAGGCTGTCCTGGAACTGCATGGGGATGGGGTCCCGAGTATGTGCACAGCAGCAAGTCTCCAGTGCCTCTGGGGGCAGACTGAAGGTGGCTAGAGGTTCCTGCGTTGGGCCTGGCCCAGGTCAGCAGCAATGCCTACCCAATTGGGCAGGTAGGTTGCTCGCGGCTTGAAAATCATGTTGAAGGGGGAGCTGGGCTGAGTGAAGTTAGCCAGGTAAACAGTGTCCCCGCCTGTGAGGTAGGCAGCCCAAATCCCAAAGGTGCCCACGGTGATGACAGTGTGGTTACACTGCAAGAGCAGTGACATGTCCCTGGCAGGTGACCCTTGAAGGCCATTGCCAGCGAACACCACATCCCCTCGGGAGGCATTGATGTTCTCCTTGCACCAGGCCATCCCATTGCTTGTGACCACAAAGACTGGAGAGGGATAGCGCGCCCGGAACCTGTCCAGCGCCTGTTCCAAGTAGCCCCGGTCAGCCACCACGCCCTTCCACACATTGGGCATGATATGCACATAGTCCCCCCGGCGCACATGGACGCCCACAAACGTACCCGGCTGCCGCCCGTTCACCCGCAGGCCACGCAGGAAGGCCTGGGCCTCCTCACGCACGTGGTCGTGCAGGGTGAACTCCTGCAGGATCTCAGGGCGCAGGTGGTGGTAGAAGGTCCAGGAGCACGGGTACCCCGTGAGGCGCACATAGCGTCCCGGGATGTGGCGGTACCGCTCCTCCATCCAGTCGTTGAGGTGATAGTTCTGCCACGGGATCTTGCTGGCGGTGTCGCTGTGCAGCACCGGGAGGCTGATCCTGAAGATGGGCGCCAGGGCGCTGTGCATGGATGCGGGGATGAAAGCGGGCCTTCCGTTCATCCTGGCCAGTGCGAACAGCGTGGCATACTCGCCCATCTGGTTCCCCAGGCGGCCAATGGAATTGATGGTGAACATGCCCTCCTGGGGCAAGTTTCTTGGGGCTAAGACCACAATGGCTGAAGAGGCCCAGGGTGCAGGCACCAGAGCCAGGCGCCGGTGGCAGTAGAAAATGGTGGACAAAACAAATATCACAAAAAAGAGATAGAAGGTGGAGAGGGGTGGACAAGTGGCCTTGAGTCCCTGCAGAGCTGTAAGAGAAGACAGGGTTAGGGATGGTTAGGGGTCAGAGTCTGGACACCATGGAAGAGCGCAGCCACTCAAAGAGTTTCTGTCTGGCTCTGAGACCACAGTGATGGGGTTTACCATGTCGCTGACTCTTTTTGTCACCTGACTAGATAGAACCACTGAAAACAGCTGGCTAACCATATCTTACCTGATTGCAGCCATTTCTATGGTCCTAAAAGCACCCTCAGGGGGTAAATGAAAATTAAATGTGATACAGTAGTTTTTCCTTATTTGAAGTTTGACCTTCTAGAGTTTCAATTCCTTAACAGGGTCAAGTGTGGTTTGGAAATACTAGATTGAGCATTCCAGAAATAAATAATCTGTATTTTAAGTTTTAAGCTGAGGATGGCGGCATCTTTTAACACCCCACCCTAGCCCACCTTCACCTCTGGTGGGTCATCCTTGGTCCAGCATATCCACCTGAAGTGCTACATGCTTTAGTCACTTGACTGATATTCCGCCCACTGTCAGAACTACAGTGGTCAGGCAGGCAAGGTGACTCAGCCAGTCAGTAGAAACAGGCAGGCCTGATGTCCTGAGTTCAAAGCTTCAATGCCATAAAGTGGCAGGGGGGGATCAGCTCTTGAGAGCTGAGTGTCCTCTGAAGAGCACTGCAGTTCAGGTAATCCTCAGTTCACAGCATAGTGGCCCCAAAGGGCAGGGACAGCGAGCGACCTTGGAGATGGGATATGCCAGAGAGGCACTATAAAAGGTTCCTTAAGCAGGGCGTTGGTGGCGCACGCCTTTAATCCCAGCACTTGGGAGGCAGAGGCAGGCTGATCTCTGTGAGTTCAAGGCCAGCCTGGTCTACAGAGCAAGTTCCAAGACAGACTCCAAAACAATACAGAGAAACCCTGTCTCGACCCCCCCAAAAAAGGTTAAGGGGAAAAACTAAAGGTGCCACAGGGTGTGCCGAGCACAGGGAGATCACCCCCTTATGCACCTTTTACCCCAGCATGGCTATGGTTCCTCTGCTTGAGTTTCTTACTGAGCCTGATCTACAGGCTCTCTGGAATTTACGGGAATGAAGGAGTGTATGGGGCTGTGCACTGTCTGTGGTGTCAGATGGCCACTGGGCTCCTGGACTATACCCACACCACTGATGGCTGTATTTCTGATATCCTCCCATCGTGCCCAGCCCCATGAAGGTCGTGGTCCCACTGTGTGCCAGCTGCTGGTGGGTCAGGAGAGCATGGAAGGATGAAAGAGAACTCTGCATTAGCGTAGCACCAAGGCCAGGAGCAGGGCTGTGGTTGGGCAGGTCAGGTCTGTTAGATGCGGCTTGGCTTGCTGTGGATTTGGGCTCACTGCTCAGCTTAACCTCTTCTGTAAGAAGAGACTGTCCACAGTACCATGAGCCCTGTCTTCTCCCTGTCTGTGTTACAATAGGTTCAAGCTGCCTGGAGTCCCTGATGCCCTGGACCTCGGTAGCCTGTACCTGCCAGAACCAGTGACAGGTGAAGCAAGCAGCTGCTTCTGGGCAGGGCTCAAGGGATGGGCAGTGCCCACTTCCTGCTTCTGAAACACTTTACAATCCTCACGAGGCTATATCATTTTGGCCTTTATAGGTAGGTCTGTGATAAGCCTATTTTCTGGTAATCATTTCACTGAAAAAATTTGCATACCTCGGAATCCACCCACAGCCGTGTTCACTGTGGCTTTTAGAGTGCTCAGAGCTGGCTGAACGCCTGCTTCCCCACACTGGGGTTGGCTCATCTCCCTCCACCTTATGCAGCCCAGCCCATTGTCTCTGACTTGCTAAGTCTCGGGTCAGCCTGTGGACAGTATCGGGCCTGCTTCCTACCCACGGTGTAGCTGTGGCCCCATCTGTGGGTAGGAAAGCCATGTTTGCCCGGTCAACACACTAGCACGCGTGGGCCATTTCATTCCCTGCTTGGGATGGACAATGCTGTCATGACTCCCCAGTGTCCATGTGGATACTCTTTTGTTCCCTTGGGCACCTGTCTGGGGTGGCACTGCCGGGTCAAAGGTGGTCCTGTGTGGTCACTGATCTCAGGAACCACAGCAATGTGTCAAGGGCTATATTTCTCTATCTTGTTCTCTGCTGTTGCTGCTGAGGGACTGTAGGGGCAGGGGACAGTGCAGTAGGGCCTCACCACAGAGACCATGTGTTTTAACCTGTAAGTTTTGCCTTGGTACCACTGGGCTTTTCTGGGCTCATCTCTGTTGGTTAGTTTGTTTTTGTCAGATGGAGAAGCAGAGTTATCTGGGCGTCTCCTTGATCGAGAAAAGGCCTCTATCCGATGGCCTGTAGGGAAGCTTATGGTGTATTCTACTATTAACGATTATGAGAGGCCCCACCCCTGTGGGCAGGCCCCCCCCCCAGCTGGTGATCTTGGACTGTAGAAGAAGGCAGGCAGAGCAAACCACAGAGAGCAAGCCAGGGAGCAGCATTCTCCACAGTCTCTGCTTCAGTTCCTGCCTCCAGGCTCCTGTCTTGAGTGTCTGCTGACTCCCCTTCACGATGGACTATGAACTTTAAAGGAAACAAACCCTTTCTTCCCCAAGTGTGGTCATGGTGTTTATCACAGCAGCAGAAACCAGACTGACACTCCACTCTAAGGACAGATGGACAACCTCTTCCCTTCCCAGGCTCCAGCTTCCCCGGGGCCCTTAAGAGTCTTCGGGTGTGCACTCCACCACACAGTGAGCTGCTTCCTCCTGCGAGTTCTGTGTGTAAGCCTCAGGCTGGGCGGCTGCCTGGGCTCCTTTACTCCTATATCCCAGGGCCTCTTGCTTTATTATTAACCTGCCCATTTTTGGAAGTCTGAACATTCTTAGAGTTTAACGTGGGTTCCCTGCAAAGTCAGCCAGCCTGGACCACAGGACATGGAACACCATACACACCAGGTGTGCTAGAAACACACCTCCTTCACCGCTTTAATTGCCACAAAGCAAATTAGCTCTACTTGACCTCCCCCCTTTTTAAAACATCCCAATCATTTTCTCCCCTATCTCCTGGCTCTCTGCTCCGCTGAGATCCCAGCCCAGCCAGAGCACCATGCAGCAGAGCAGGGACAGAGAGCCTGGGCCGGGGAGAGGAGAAAGGGCCCCCGGCAGGGTGCAGCTTAGGAGCCGGTGTGGCCTTGGGAGTACTTCCTGGTAGATGTGGGCTGCTTTGGGAAGTGCCCTGCTGCTGCCATCTTGAGGTAAGGCCTCTCCTTCATCCTGCTATCTCAAGAGTGCCCTCTGGAGGCTGCTGCGCCTGGAGACCTAGAAAGCCCACCAACAGAAGGGTGGAGGCTGTGCTACCCGGATCTTTTCTAAAGCTGGTGACAGAGACTCTTCACCAGAGTCACTGTGGTGGGAAAACAGGCCTGAACTCTCCTGAAGCCAGGCCCTGTGAGGGTTAAGGTCCTCACACTTGGGGAGCCCCATATCACCAGCCTCATTCATCCCACAGTGGCTGTCTTCTGGGTGACATAGCCAGCTCAGCTACCCAGAACAAAGTGATGAAAAAAAATTCCTCTGGGGACAACTTAGGGACTCACTGTGCTAGTTAGGGAGGATCTTACGGAGCCGCACTTTCCTTGAATGTCCTGATAGGCAGGGCAAGGCTCGCTTCTCCTGGCCACTCCTTTGAAGCCACAGCTCCTGTCCCTGCTCAGCAAACCCACCTAATTGTCTATAGAACAGACCAGCTTCCTGTCTGTCTTGACAGGGCCAAGACTGGGCAGACCTGGGAGGACTCGCTGGATCCACCAGGACCCTGTGTGTCCCTCACACAGCCCCAGACCTCTCTTACAGATTGTACCTCCAAGCTTTCCTGGGTCTTGCCGTTCTCATTTGTCCCTGTCCTTGCTCCTCCAAGATCTCAGCCTCCACGGTCACCTGGAACCACCGTGGGGCACCTCACTCCCAGTCCTGCACAATGGTGGGTGCCCCAGACAAGCCACACGAACCCTCGCCACGCTCAGAGCATGATGGCTGTGAGCACGCCAGGCTGCAAGCCCTGGCTCCTGAACACCAGCAGCTGGCCTGCCTTCCGGCGCCACTACCTTTCCCTGCCGAGTTCAACCAGGCTGGAGACATTTTTACTGTCCTCCTTGCAGGCAGCACCGGCCTCTGGCTTCCCCTGCGGCCAGTCTGACCTCAACCCTGAATTAACCCACATGCGGCAGGAGGTTGCCGGACTGGGACTGCCTGGGGGTCAGTCAGAAACAGGGGGCTAGCAAGCTAAACTCCTATGGTAAGAGGGGCTACGGCCAGTGGGAGCAGGCCAGGACCCCACCCTCAGGACCCCACCTCAGGACCCCACCTCAGGACCCCACCTCAGGACCCCACCAACAGCTGTGCTCCCCTACCTGCGTGGGTCCTTCTAAGCCAGTGTGCTCTGGGCCACCAGGCTGCAAGCCTGCTGGGGGCGACAATGCTCCTGTCCCACGCTGTCTCGGGTGGCGTGGCTGGCAGCGGCCCCTGTGGGGAAAGCGTGGCTGCAGTTGGTCAGGGTTTGGGGCGGGCAGTGGGGTTGGATTCTGCGGGCTCTGCTTTGAGCTCCCGCCCAGAACCCCCACTAGCCTGGCCTGAGAAGAACCACTCTCATTCTTCCTGAGAGCCCACCAGGGCCTGCTCCTACAGACGAGTGTGGGAAGCCCGCCCGCCCGGCTACAGGACACTCCTCTCCTCTCCAGGCGGTTTGACCAATGGCTGGGTCCTGATAACCAGGTAGGAGATGCATGCCAAAGTGGGGAAGGCAGGAAGATTCTCTTACAGACACCAGGAGCCCAGCAAGGCTGACTGTGGGTCTGCGGGGTTTGGCTGGGCCTGTCACTGAGAGGTAGGGAGGCTGTAGGCCCAGATGGACGGAGGCTCGTTTCTGCCTGTCTCCCAAGAACATAAGAGAACTCATAGCCTGGTACTTCATGGTGTTAGAAACCCAAAGATAGGACCCTGAAATTACCCAGCAAGAAACGTGCTTACATGAGGGGCTGAGGCTTAGCGAAGCTGGCCAGTGCTATGTTACAGGCACACAAGGGCTCCAGATTCCTGGGGGCAGGGACCAGGCCTACGGTCTGGGCAGGAGAGAGGCATCCTGGGTGGGAACTGGCAGTGGAGCGCAGAGCTGTGTGGCTCTCAGCCTGGGTGCACATTCAGAGGTAAGGGTTCATGCAGGGGGATCAGAAAAGTCCCAAGAGCCCAGTCCTGAGTGGGGGGAGTTGAGGGCCTTAGTCCTCTGGCTCCTAACACTCCCTGGACTATGGATTTCTGGTTTCTAAGAGCCCTGACATCTGGTACACACCTTAAGTCACCTCCTCCTTTTCTCTTTCCTCCCATATTATCTAGACCCCAGCATCAGCTCCCCAGTCTGCTCCGAGGGCCTGAACACAGTGGGCAATGTGGTGATTTGCATCTATGTCTGAGATTTGGGGTAGCAGGTGGGGCCCCTGCTCAGAAAGTCCCAGAAATGTAACTGCAGGGTCCCAACACCCTGAGTCCTACAGGAATTCCAGGTTTCTGTCTTTCCTACCACAGGGGCTCTGCTCTCCAACTCAGGGGTGTCATTGGTTTCTAGCCCCATACCCATCCTTCCCTCAGCTCTGTTCTCTGGCTGTACACCTGGAGGGGAAAGGGTTAAGGGTGGAGGGCTGGGGTAGGTAGCAGAGAGGTCAGGGCTGTCTGGCAATAATCCCCTCTCTGTGTATGCACAGGGTGTGGAGAACAAAGTTAGAAGCCCATGTGGGAAAGGCTTCACTCTGATGTACATGGGCCAAGGCCTTGGCCTCTGCTCATGATTTCCTGCTGGGCACTGTCCGGCTGCCTCTCCCTTCCCTCTTAGGCTCCTTGTGTGGCTGAACCGACCTGTTCTTGTCTCCCAGCCCCCATCCGGCTGGCTTCATGCCATCCAGCTCTCCACTCCCGTGCCTGCTCCTCGGCTTTCCCCGGGCCTGCGCCCGTCTCCCGTGTCCCTCCTCTGTGTCTTTCTTCCCTCATCGATGCCCTCCGTCTCTTCCTTGACCAACCCTTCTACATTTTCACATCTGCTGGTCCTGCTGGCTCCTCATCTGCCCCTCACCCTCTCCCCAGGGCCTCTGCCCCCTCGACACTGATGGATAACTTTGGGGTGTTAAGCTCTGGATTAGTTCAGGCAAAATTCTCAATTTTGCTTGCGTTCTTTTCCCTCTGGGTTATGTAAACAGTAATTCTCCCCAGATGGAACTATTTTCCTCGCTTCAAGGCAGCTGGGGAGGGGGCTCAGGCAGGGCTGGGAGGAATGCGGGGTCCACAAGGATGCTCAGCAGGGTGGGGCTGACTGAGGCCCCATCTGCCACCTCTGTCTGCAGGTGCCAGCTCTGCTGTGGCCATGGCCATGGTCTTCGTCCTCTTGCTGCTCCTTACCCAGGCCACCGCAGATCCATGCTATGACCCAGGAGGGCGCCCTCGCTTCTGCCTCCCACCAGTGACCCAGCTGGTTGGCAGGGTAACAGGCCCCTGCCCTCAGACCTGTGCTCTTCCTGCAGCCAGTGCTGGCCCTACCTGCAATGGCAGTCTGACACTGGACCTGGATGGCCCCTTCCTCCTGACATCTGTCACCCTGAGATTCTGCACCCCAGGGCCTCCAGCCTTGGTTCTTTCTGCTGCCTGGGCCATTGGAGGCCCCTGGAAGCCACTATGGCGCAGGCCTGCCTGGCCTGGAGCTCTGGGGGGACCTGAGAGGGTGACCTTTCGCTCCCCACCAGGCCCCAAGGCCAAGATAGTGGCCAGCCACCTGCGTGTGGAGTTTGGGGGCCAGGCAGGGCTGGTGACCACTGGGGTAAGAGGCCGATGCCAGTGCCATGGCCATGCAGCCCGCTGTGCTGCCCAGGCCCAGCCCCCACGCTGCCGCTGCCGCCACCACACTACTGGCCCAGGATGTGAGAGCTGTCGCCCATCCCATCGAGACTGGCCGTGGCGACCTGCCACGCCCCAGCACCCTCATGCATGCTTGCGTAAGTCATGGGTACTGCCCCCAACCCTTGCCACTATTTGGGCCCCTGGGACAACATGCAATTGGCCCCTTGTCCCAAAGCATGCAGAGTGTTCTCTTCCCCTCAGAACTGCTTTTCTTTGCCTGTCCTCACATTGTGCTGAGACCTGGTTCCCTTTCCAGACACACAGACACACCCCACACAGACACACCACCACAGACACCACACACACACAGATACCCCACACACAGATACCCCACACACAGACACACACACACAGACACCCCACACACAGACACACAGGCACCCCCCCACAGACACCCCCCCACAGACACCCCCACAGACACACCCACACAGACACACACACACAGACACCCCACACCCACACCCACAGACACACCCACACAGACACACCCCATAGACACACCCCACAGACACACCCCCACAGACACCCCACACACACACCCACAGACACCTCACACACCCACACACAGACACACCCACACACAGACACACCCCATAGACACACCCCCACAGACACACCCCACAGACACACCCACAGACACCTCACACACACACACACAGACACACCCACACACAGACACACCCCATAGACACACACACACAGACACACACACACAGAGACACACACACACAGACACCCCACAGACACACCCACAGACACACCCACACACAGACACACCCCACAGACACACCCCCACAGACACCCCACACACACACCCACAGACACCCCACACACACACCCACAGACACACCCACACACAGACACACCCCATAGACACACCCCCATAGACACACACACACAGACACACACACAGACACCCCACACACCCACCCACAGACACACCCACACACAGACACACCCCATAGACACACCCACACACAGACACACCCCATAGACACACTCCACAGACACACACACACAGACACCACACACACAGACACCCCACACACACACCCACAGACACACCCACACACAGACACACCCCATAGACACACCCCACAGACACACCCCCACAGACACCACACACACAGACACCCCACACACACAGACACCCCACACACACAGAGGAAACCTCTGCCAGGGTCTCCACCCACCAGATGTGACCACATGACACCAGTGGCAGCCCTGAACAGAACATATCCCAGGGCCTGGTGTGGCACTGGGTTTGGGCACGGGTAGGAGCAGATACATTTCCTGACTCCTGGGAGACATGGCATAGAGTATTTAATCATAAAGCGTTCTGATGAACCACCAGCTGCCAGCCAGTGTCTGGATGGAGAGACTGTGGCCACAATTCACTTACACAAAGTCACACAGGTACCAAGTATGAACATGGACCCCTCCTGCCCAGCTCCCAAGGATGCTGTCATACTAGGTGCTCCTAGACACCATCAGGAGCAGTTTCAGCAGATGGCCTTGGCCATTTTCAGCTCTTTTGCTCACAGTGTGGCCTCAGGCAGGGGACCTGGCCTTCTTGTGTCTGTTTTCTTGTCCTGTGAAGCACAACCCTTAAGGCTGCGGAGAACCAGTGAGCCAGAGTGTCCCCAAACCCCACGAGCACAGCTCTGTCCCTCGCTTCTGAGCGCCCGCTATGACACCATTCCCTGGCAGGAGCACAGCTCAGATGACTTAGGGACTTGTCTTCCTAGAGCTATGGTCCCTAGGACACAGCCTGGTCTCTTTCTCCAGCCACACTGTTCCCACTCTGTCACCTTCAGGCCTGAGGGTAATCAGCACCCTGGCAGACAGATGAAGGCACACACATTCCTCAGCCTTCCGCCCTCCACCACCCCAGGGACATGCAGGGGAGACTCACATGTCCTGAGGCTGGGGCAGACTCCATCTCGGGCTTGGACAGGGCCTGGGCGCTAGGGAAGCTGTACCCCTGAGTATGATCACAGCTACCCAAGTTAAGACAAGTGCAGCTTTGGGGACCTGGATAAGAGGCAGTGACACATCATGTGGCTTTACAGGTAAGGTGGCTCGACTATCCCCTACCTGTCAGGTTGTCTCAGGAAGGGAAGTGAGGCAAAGCCATTCCTCTGGGTCAGAAAGGCGCTACGGCAGGTCTCCACAAAGAGCTCCTGGAACAGCACTGCAGCGTGCAGCCAGCTAAACCCTCGAGACACGGCCTCACTGGATGGGAGCAACAGGGCTAGGGGAAGGAGTGTCATTTTCTCATGAACATACGCTGCCTACCCTTACCACTCCAGTCCTCTGCTCTGCCCCAGGGAGCTGCCTGCCAGTGCAGGCTCTCAGCCCCAAGGTCTTTTCATAGCATGGCCAGGCACTCTGACTTAGCATCTCTCTGGGATCCTGCTACACATACAGAATCCTGGGCCTAGTGACGCTGAATTAGCCCTTGGGTGGGTTTTTGTTGTTTGTTTATGTTTTTAAAGACTTATTATGTTTACAGTATTCTGTCTGCAGGCCAGAAGAGGACATCAGATCTCACTACAGATGGCTGTGAGTGGGTGCTGGGAACTGAACTCAGGACCTCTGGAAGAGCAGCCAGTGCTCTTAACCTCTGAGCCATCTCTCCAGTCTACCCCTACTCTCCCTCCCCTTTTTTGACAGTGTCTCACTATGTAGCCCTGGCTGCTTGGAACTCAATATAAAGAGCAGGCTGGTCTCAAACTCATACAGATCCACCTGCATTTGCCTCCTAAGAGCTGAGATTAAAGGCATGCCCACCATGCCCAGCAATTTTGTGGTTAAGAACTAGCCAGTCTGCCTGGCATTAGTGGCACAAGCCTTTAATCCCAGCACTCAGGAGGCAGCAGGCAGACCTCTGTGAATTCGAGGCTATCCAGGTCTACAGAGCTAGTTCCAGAACAGGCTCCAAAGCAATACAGACAAACCCTGTCTTGAAAAACAAAACAAAACAAACAAACAAACAAAAACTAGCCAGTCTTGGTAGGACTTTACTATATACCTGTACTCAGGAGATGGAAGGAGTAATATCATAAGTTCTGAACCAGCTTGGGCTTCATGAGGTCCTACTTCTCCTACAACCAACCAACCAAATATATGAAAAGTTTCCTAGAGTTTCTGATCAGCAGTGGGGTGTGGGAGGCATGAAGGTCCTTTTACTCACAGGTAAGCACCAGGGGAACCAGGAGTGTTAAACCCACAAGGCTGTCCCTCCAGTTTTCCACCCAGGAGTCTGGGAACAGACACAGTATCCTGGTGACTTTGCACTGTGTGGCTGAGACCACACCAGATTCTACCCCAGACCCTTATCTTGTTTTTCTCAGTCTATAGAACCTATCTCTATGGAAGATATCACTTGTACTTTACAAAGAGTTTTGATATATGTCTTAAGTTTTGTTATACTCACAGGATTGAGTTAATTATCACCAGGAACGTCACCAAATTATGCTGTCTTAACTATGCCTAAAATAAACTACTCAGGGTCAAACCAGCTACTGAGGCATGCCTGCCTTCATGCCTGCTGTAGATTGTTTACTCCGCTAGCTATGGTGGTCACAGAGACCCCTGCATCTCTTCAGGAGTCTGAAAATGCTCCCAGGAAAACACACATGTTCAACAAATCTTCGGGCTTTGTGGAAGCCTTAGGACATAAGCTCCTTCCTCTCTGTGCTGCCTCAGACAGGTGACTTCACCTCTGTGTCTCATGGGACGGTGATGTCCAAGATGATACACACTCAGTGCACAGTGCCCAGGGCATGGAAGCACTAGGCTTAGTGTATGCTCTCTGCTGGGTTAAGCATGTTTATCTTAATCTCCTTGGGTGGAAACACAGCAGATGTCATCCTGCAGTCAGTGCGGTTGAGCTACAGGATAGACACAGGGATTCCCCATTCTTTCAGCACTCTCAACAGGGTCACTGGTTAACTCGCGCAATGCCACACTTCAGTATGAGAAGTAAGATATCCTGGGAATGAGCCAAAGGCAGTCTCTAAAACCAGACCTACATTCTTTCCTGCGAACAGGATGGGAGACAGACCTGGTCCTAATGTGCCTGTATGACAGTTTCTGACCTTGTCTTGTCTGTCCCCAGCCTGCTCCTGCAACCAGCATGCCCGACGCTGCCGATTCAACTCCGAGCTGTTCAGGTTGTCAGGTGGCCGTAGTGGGGGTGTGTGTGAACGGTGCCGCCACCACACAGCTGGGCGGCACTGTCACTACTGCCAGCCAGGGTTCTGGAGGGACCCAAGCCAGCCCATCACTAGTCCCAAGGCATGCAGAGGTGAGTGTGGCCTGAAGCCAAGCCAAAGGGGAGACGACACAGAGCTAGGATTCTATACTGGCAGGTACAGCCGTAGGTGTGAGGAGGAGGCTGTAGTCTAGACTCTCAGGTCTGGGGAATGGTTCACAGATGCTGCAGGGAGCCTAGTGGTCCCAAACTTCTCATTTCTTTTGTCATGAAGCCTGCCAGTGCCACCCAATTGGAGCAACAGGAGGGATGTGCAACCAGACCAGTGGCCAGTGCTCTTGCAAATTAGGGGTCACAGGCCTCACATGCAGTCACTGTGGTCCTGGATACCAGCAGAGCCGCTCACCCAGGATGCCCTGCCAACGTAAGTCCCACAGCACTTGATGCTGTAAGTCCTGAACTGGGATAGAAGGTTTCTGCGGGGCAACTGCAGTGTGGCTTTGGCTTTTGGATGACAGTGGGAGAACATTCCTCAGAAAATGTGGGTCTGAACTACACTACAGCCTCTTCAATCTCGGGAAGAAGAGAGCTGAGGTTTTGGACTCCTTGTTCTTATGAGGAAAGTGTAAAGAATGGGTGTACCCTTGGGAATTAGCATGCCTGGATTCCTAATGGTTAAACTCCTAGAATTTAAATTCAATGTCTCCTCTGGTATGATAGGAATTCAAGAGGCAACAACCGCCCTGGCTACTACCCCTATTTCGTCTCGATCTGGTAAGAGGCTGGCACAGACACTCCAGGCAGCAAAAGGGATCTGGGATGGGCTGACTGGACCCACAGGGTACTCAGCCCTCTTTTTTTTTGTTTTGTTTTTTGTTTTTGTTTTACGAGACAGGGTTTCTCTGTATTGTTTTGGAGGCTGTTGGTCCAGCCCGGCCTCGAACTCACAGAGATCCGCCTGCCTCTGCCTCCCGAGTGCTGGGATTAAAGGTGTGCGCCACCACCGCCTGCTTGTTTTATTTTGAGACAGGGTTTCTCTGGGTAGCCTTAGTGGAACTTGGTCTGTAAACCAGGTTAGCCTCGAACTCATAGATTGGCCTACCTTTGCTTCCTAAGTGCTGGGATTAAAGGCATGTGCCACCACGCCTGGTCTCCAGGCCTTCTGGAGGGTGCAGACAGTCCAGCTGTCTGAAGCAATGGGGTGGGGGGATGGGCTGTGGTCCAGGCCATGGAACCCACTGCAGAAAGCCTGACCCTCTCCAGACCCACAGTGTCAAAACTACTGCAATGTTTCGGACACCAGCGTGCACATGAACCTTCAGAGGTACTGCCAGCAGGATTATGGTAAGCGATGGAGGAAAAAAAGCCTGCCTTCTCCCTGCTCACCCATTTTCTTATTTTAAATGGGAAAGGACGCTAGACCATAAATGACTCTTTCTTGACAGAATGTGTGGGGACAGAAGACAAAGGCGGGGACAGTGGGGGCCCCCTACCTTCTTGTGTCTCCTTGTCCTCCATCCTGTTGCACTGGCAGTTCTAACCTGTCCTCCGGCCTGACGTCACGGGGGCTGGAAGGAGAAGAGGGATCTAGATGAACAGCAGGGCCCTTGTTCTCTCCTGCCTTCCGTTCAGTCTCAGACCTGAGGCTTTGTCCCCCCTATCAGTGCACGCCACCCCAGTCCCATGAGCTAGCTCAGCTCTCCCTCGGGAGTCAGGCCAGTCCCAGTCACTCCCTTCTGTACAGGGCCATCAGCTGCCTTCAGGGTCATACGGCTTTGAGGGACAGCTTCTCCCACCTTCTTCTCAGGGGTATTGACCTCACAGATCTGGCTTCTTGGTCAGAGTCCAGCCCCCAGGTCTGCCTGAGCCTCCCCTGCCATAGCACTGACTCATACTGCAAAACCTCAACCAACTCGGGCCTTAGCTTTGAACCCCAATTCACCCCAGAGCCTCTCTGGCAAGACCCGTCTCCCCGCGGTCTCCCCGCGGCCTCCACTGCTGGGACCTTCTCACTGCTACACTGCGACCCTTTAACACAGTTCCTCATGCTCGAGGGACCATGAAATTACTTCGTTGCTACTTCATAACTGTAATTTTGCTTCTGTTAGAATCGTTGACATAAATAAAATCTGTGGTTTCCGATGGTCTCAGGAGACCCCCGTGAAAGGGTCGTTTGACCCCCGTGGGGTCGGGCCTCCACAGATTGAGAGCCGCTAATCTAGCCCTGCCCCCCTTCCCACTGCCACTGGGTCGGGCCTTCTCCATCAGGCCGGTCCTCGCTCCTCAGGGACGGCCTCGCACTCTGACACGGTGTCTCCGCAGTTCTGCATGCACAGGTCACCGAGTCCTCCCAGGCTGCAGCGTCTGAGGCGGTGGGTGAGTGGTGGCGGCTGACGGTGTCCGTGCTGGCGGTGTACAAGCAGCGCGCTCGGCCCGTGCGCCGCGGGGGCCAGGAGGCCTGGGTGCCCCGCGCGGACCTGTCCTGCGGCTGCCTGCGCCTGCGCCCCGGGGCCGACTACCTGCTGCTGGGCGGGGCGGCGGACGGCGGCGACCCTGCGCGGCTCGTGCTGGACCGCCGCGGCCTCGCGCTGCCCTGGAGGCCGCACTGGGCCCGGCCGCTGCGGCGGTTACAGCAGAAGGAGCGCGGGGGCGCCTGCCGCCGCCTGCTGCCTCCCGCTCCGAGCCCGGGGCCCAGCGGCCAAACCGAGCCTGGGCGCGAGGTGTGAGTCAGCAGAGCCTTCGACCTCCACGCGCTCCGCTGCCGGGCCAATCAGAAGCCGCGGAGCTCGTGACACCATTCCGCACGCACGTGCTTCTGCCAGGAATGTGCGCCGGAGCGACTTCTAGCAAAAGGCGGAAAGCCGCAAGCGGGCCTTTGGGGCCCGGAGTTATGCCGTCCCTTGGCCAGTGGGCCTAAAGGTTATTTGTCACAATAAAGCCTCATGTCCTGTGGAATTATGTCTACAGACCCCTGATCCATGGCGGGAGAGGCTTTAGGGGGCGACCGAAGAAGGCAGGCCTTGAGTAAATCTGCCAAGCTGAAGTTCTCGCTGAGTTGTCTGAGAAAGTGGCCAGTGCACTTGGAAAGGACTCCAGTGGCGTCACTGGGTGCTAGTTAGATTTGTGTTGCTTGCTGATCAACCAAAACAAAATAGGCTAGGTATGGCTGGGAAAGGCAAGAAGTTTGACAACTTTATATGCGCAGAAAGTAAGGAACTTTGAATATCACCTGGTCTTGAAACAGGGTGTAGAGCCTTGGCTGGCACAGGTCTCAGCACTCAGGAGGAGGAGGAGAACTTCGGATCAGGACTCCAAGGGTTATTTAACAAGTGCTGTCTGAAGATAAAACCGATTTATCTACACTAAGGGTTTGGACCAGGCCTGGCGCGGAGCAGGCAGCCTATGAGTTTGCTGTTATTTGAATACCCAGGGGCCTCCTGGGCCCTGCGTCCTCTGCTGGGGAGGACCTCAAAGGAAGAGAGAGTTAAGGAAGTTCACAGGGGTTGTGGGAACCCTCGGAGCTGCAGGAGCTGTGGCTGTGCCACCTCCCACCCAAGAGCCTGGATGCAGGGGATGAAAGCTCAGCGCAGGGTGAGCCTTATGTGTTCCTTGTGGCTCGGACTTTGTAGCAGCCGAAACAAATTGGTGTGAAATTCACATCTGTGCCACTTGCTGATCCGGACCTTCCCACCCCTCCCTCAAGGCGCCAGCCCTGCCTGTCTGCGCACAGTCACGGAGGTGGCACAGGTGGCCACCAGACCTCAAAGGAGGCCCCACCTCACAGCACAGCCAGCTGACTTCATTGTGGGGGGTGGGGAATCTCCTAAAGTCTGGCTTTGTGCTGTTAGGAATTTCCCTAGAAGAAAGGGAGCTACAAATGAAGGGGAGAGTTTCTGTAACGATCCAGAAACTGGGCTGGGGTTGTAGCTCAACTCAGAGTGCTTGCCTAGCACGCATGAGGCTCCGGGTTTGGTTCCCCTCATCCCACTTTAAACCAGGCGTGTGGTAAATGCCTGTCATCCTAGCATTGAAGAGTTACAAAGTAATTCATTCTCAGCTACATAATGAATTAAAGGCCAGCCTAGGCTACAGGAGGCCCTGTCTCAAAACAACAGTTAAATTCCAGAAGTTAAAGCCCTGATACAAAAGAGAGATTTCCAAGCCAGGTATGGTGCATACCTGTAATCTCAGCTCCTGGAAGACTGAGGCAGGGTGAGCTGGAGCTGGAATATGAGGCCAGTCTGGACTATACAGTGAGGCTTTGTCTCAAAAAACTATTTTTTCACTGTGAACTCTATGGCGTAGGAAAACCAGGCATTAGCCGGGTGGTGGTGGTGCACGCCTTTAACTCCAGCACTTGGGAGACAGAGGCAGGTGAGTCTCTAAGTGCGAGGCCAGCCTGGTTTACAGAGTGAGTTCCAGGACAGACAGGACTACACAGAAAAATCCTGTCTCAAAAAAATTTTTAAAAATTATTTTAAAAAGGAAGGAAGAAAACAGGTGTTATGCGGGTTGTGGTGGAACTCGCTTTGTACCTGCGGCGCCAGCACCACAAGCAACTCCAAGGTATCAGGAAAAGAGAGACAAGACATCCACTTGTTTGTACTAGGAGAAAGCATGTGCTGCCTTTATTGCCAGGAGAATGTGTGTGTGAGTCTTCATTACAAATGCTAACAGGTCTCCCTTGTAGGAGGGAGGAGCTTTATATACAGGTTTACAGCACAGTGGAAAAACCCCAGGTAGAAGAGAGCGTGTTTTCCTCCTGCTGAATGTTGATGTCAGAGGGTCAAGGCCAGGGCAGTAAGCCAGGACTAGAAAACAGAAAGCACTTGGACTGGAAAACAAGTTGCACTTGTAGGCTGACCAGCAACTCACAGAGACCCCGTGGGGTTGGGGCCCAACAGTACCCAGGTGAGTTCAAGATGCGCATGGGATACAAAGCGAGTTCCAGGACAGCCAAGGCTGTTAGACAGAGAGACTCTGTATGAAAAACCAAAACCAAACAAAAAGCTGGCATTTGCCTGGCGTTGGTGGCGCACACCTTTAATCCCAGTACTCAGCAGGCAGAGGCAGGCGGATCTCTGTGAGCTCAAGGCCAGCCTGGTCTACAGAGCAAGTTCCAGGACAGTCAAGGCTGTCAAGACAGTGAAAACCTGTCTTGAAAAATCAAAACCTGAAAAGCAATAAAACAGGCATTTGCTGTCCTGCATTCTAGAGTTAATTTTTTGTTTTTTCAGGACAGGATTTCTCTGGGTAGTCCTGGTTGTCCTGGAACCAGTTCTGTAGACTAGGCTGAACTCAAACTCAGAGATCTTCCTGCCTCTGCCTCCTGAGTGCTAGGATTAAAGGCATATGTCACACTGCCATATTCTAGAGTTTAAAATTGGAAGTCAGGGTGTTGGTAGGGCCATACTAAGAAGGTGTTAGAGAGGGTCATCCCTTCCTCCTGCAGACTCTGGGGCTACCTGTGACCCTCTGCTTGTGATCATGGAATTCTCATCTCTGCCTCTGTCTTCAGAGGCTTCTGCCCCTACTCACCCTGTCTTGGCTGTTAAGGGCACCTGTACTTTGGTGCAAGTTCACGATAATAATGAAGGGCGATATCTCAAATCATGCTCATGTGGTCCGTAGAGCGTTGGTAGTGAACACCTTTAACCCCAGCACTCAGAAGGCAGAGGCAGGTGGAGCTCTGTGAGTTTGAGGCCAGCCTGGTCTACAGAGTGAGTGCCAGGATAGACTCCAAAGCTAAACATAAAAACCCTGTCTCTAAAAACCAAAAAAAAAAAAAAAAAAAAAAAAAAAAAGAGAGAGAGAGAGAGAAAAAAACTTTCAGAAGGTGCAGGACTGTCCTCCAGCCACATGGAACACTGAAGCAGGAGGATGGAAAGCCTGAGCTACACTGAGAAACTGTCTCAAAAGAAAAAGTTACAACAGGGCTGGAGACGTTGTCTGTAGAGTGCTAGTCTAGACACCCCCAGTTAGGGTCTGGGGGAGTAGTAGAGCACCTACCTAAATCCGGCAGTGAGGGCTGCGTGTGTGTGGCTCAGCTGGATAGTGTTTCCCTACCATACATAAAGCCTCAGGTTCAATCCTCAGTGATGGGAAAACAAGCAGACAGGCAGCACCTTAATCACACAAGCCACGAGCCCTTTGTCAAATAAGGGCCACTCCTGGGTTCCAGAGTATGTCTCCTTCCAGCAGCAGAGTGAACACTAGTCAGTCCACCGAGGTAGCTGTCACCCTTTCTGGCTCCTCACTCCACTTGTGGAATATGGGCAGCTTCAAGGCAGAGAGAAGCCCACACAGCTAGGCCTTTCTGCCGGTGCCCCTACTTTTTCTTTTGTTTTTTTGAGACATGGCCCTGGTAGTCTCCAACATGAACTTTCCCAACTCACCACGTCTACCTGCCTGCCTTCCTCTGTCCTAAGGTTCTCTTCAAGTCATTTGGTCTGTGACAGGAGCCTCTCGTCTGCTTGGTTTTGCTTTCTGCACGAGAGACTGCGTGCATAGGGTCCCTGGTTGTGACTCCAGCTGTGTTTCTGCTTCTCTGCCTTTTACACCCGGTGTCTCTGTGAGTCTCTGGACCGCCATCCTGTATTTTCTCTTTCTATCTGTCCTTCAGTGTCTGTCTCACCGGATGCATCCATTTGATTCTGTCTCCGTCCTTGCCTGCCCACCCGGCTCCGCTAATCCCATGCATGGGTCTCCTTGCTTCTATCTCTAATGTATTGCTTTTCTTTCTTTTCCTTTTTTTGTTTGTTTGTTTTGTTTTTCTCTATTTAGCCCCACTCACTCTGTAGACCAGGCTGGCCTCGAACTCAGAGATATCCGCCTGCCTCTGCCCCCTGAGCGCTGGGATTAAAAGCGTGCACCAGCCAGGCGGTGGTGGCGCACGCCTTTAATCCCAGCACTCGGGAGGCAGAGGCAGGCAGATCTCTATGAGTTCGAGGCCGGCCTGGTCTACACTAGTTCCAGGACAGCCTCCAAAGCCACAGGGAAACCCTGTCTTGAAAAACAAAAACAAAACAAAACAAAACAAAAAAAAACAAGAAAAAAACCGTGCACCGCCAGGGCCCCCCCCCCCCCCAGTTTCTAATGTATGTCTTGCTGCCTGCCTCTTCCCACCTCTGTGCCCTTCTGTGACTCATTCTTGCTCTTTGTGGGCTGTTAGTTATTTAGGCAAGGTCTTACTGTGTAGCCTAGGATGGCTTTAACTCCTCAGCCTCCTGAGTGCTGGGATCACAAGAGGGAATCACCATGGTCTATGTGTTTATATGTGTCTGTCTCCTTTCCTGTGGGCTGGAATCATGCTTTTCAGTGCCTGAGTCCACGTCTCTCTCTCCTTTCTGCATGGCGTCTTGCTCGTTTTTTTCTCTAAGCCTGTCTCTGTGACTCTAATGTGTCTCCATACTTGTTTCTCCTTCCTTCCTTCCTGATTCTGACATGAAGTCTCTCTGTATTTATTTCTCTGACGTCTTGCCCCCCTCCCCCCAGCACCCTGTCCTTGCTCCCCAGCCTCAGCTGGGCTCCAGGCTTCTCACCCTCCAGTCGCCCAAGCCTCTGCTTCCCCCTCCCGGCCAGCGGTCTTCCTGCACCCCAGGTCCCCAGTGCCCAGTCCATTCTGGCCTTGGCACCTAGAGCAGGGGTCCTCGGGTTCTCTCAACTTCACAGCACCTCCCTTCCCAGGGCTGAGCCCAGGGGTGTGGCCCTTTCTATTGCGGAGGTCCCCAGCCCAACCTCAGACCATTGGGAGCAAGCGGGTGGGGAAGAGGGAAGCAGGACCAGAGGTGATGGGGGTGGGGGGCAGGGAAGGAGCGGGGAGAGAGGAGGAGGAGATGGAAAGAGGGAGAGGCAGTACCGGGCGAGGGAGGAGGTGAGATCGAAGGGAAGGCAGAGTCGAGCAGGGAGGAGGAGGACGGAGGGAAGAAGAGAAGGCAGGGTGAGGGAGGAGGTGG